AAGACCTGGGAGGGAGCGCAGAGGCTCCATGTCCTCTTCTCGTGGAATCGGGGCTCACCGCCCCGCCCGGGCACATCAATGTGTCACCACCCAGGATGCTCTGCCTCAGTGTCCAGAGTTTCTATTGGGGTTTCGTTATGTAGACTTGATTGATTGGACCTTGGCCATGTGATTAAACTCAATCTCCACCCTCCTCCGTCCTTCCTGGAGGTCTGCTGGCTGAAAGTCCCACCCCCTCATCATGTGGTTGGTCTTTCTGGTGACCAGCCACCATCCTGAAGCTATTTAGGGGCCCACTGTGAGTCACCTCATTAGCATAACAAATATTTCTGTCACTCAGGAAATTCCAAGGGTTTTTAAGCTCTGTGCCAAGAACTGGGAAGAAGACGAGTTCTAGTCTTTATTGCTCTGCAGTGCACCCACACAGCACAGGAGTTACGTCTCAGGTGTCTTGGAACCCACAGCGTCCAGCCAGTCATCCCCACTCTGATTCATCCACAGACTCCCTAACGTGGGGGCAAAGTAACAAAAAAAGCCATCTGAGGGTCGCACTGCTGTCCTACCATAAAAGGAACCACTGGGCCCCAGGGCAGCCCCCCCACCAGCTGCCCCCAGCTTCCCCTCCTCTCCAGGATGTCTGCTTCCTGAGGGAGGCCTGCTCAAGGCCGCTGGTCAGAGCCAGTGTTTAGGACACAGGCTGGCCTCGCTAATCATTGTTCTCTTCAAAGCAAAACAAATCCTGAGCCCCCTGAGGACACCCCAGTGCCCGCCACAGCCAGACACTGCAGTTTGCACCACCGCCCTGCAGGCCCTGGGCCCTGAATGACTCCTCAGCGTCGTCACCACCCCTGCCCTGACTGAGAACTCCACCGAGCTGCAACGCTGTAGCCTCCAGAGGGAATCCTCTGTGGTTTTTGGTTGTTTGGATGCCAGCGTTTGAATCTGGACTGGATGTCTGGAGTGGGCATGACTCTATGTCCCAACTGCAAGTCCCAGCTGTCTTCCCCAAGACTTGTAGGGTGGGGCATTTTTCAGCCCAGGAAGGCAGCCAAGAAAAATGCAAGCTGTCTGCTATGTGTCCTGCTGTATCAGGCTGGTGATCCTGCATTGCCCATGCCACCGTCACCAGTGCTGCTGGCCCCTGTCCCCCCACCCCCAGTACCTCCAAACTCCCACCAATCCTTCTTAACACCCTGGACAAATTCTTTTGTTTTTACACAAGCCTTAAGCCAAGGCCTGAGATGGGAGCGCCTCCCATGGAATTTCCAAGGCCCAGTAACTGGGTGTTTCAAAGATGGCGGCTCGGCTTGGCCCTTCCTGTGCCCTGTACAGCTCCCTGTGCTCTCTTGGGAGTGGACACCGCTGTGATGGGCTCCCGCCCGTACGAGGCACTCATTAGGCTTGGTGTTCTACGTGCACGATTTCATTAAATCTTCACAGCAACCCTATAGAGGCGGGGGGACCATAGTTATCTCTATTCACAGATGGGGAAACTGAGATTCAGAAAGGAAGAATGACTTGCTCAAGGTCACAGAGATGGTAATTAGTGAAGCCAGACAGTATTCAAACCCTGAACTGTCAAATGCCAGAATTCACACGCTTAACCACTTTAGGGTCCTGGCACAGAGACATTCCACACTCCACGATCTTCACACTCAATGGCTCCCAGCACAATTTCCGAGCCATGCAGCGGGTGGGGAGGGGTAGGAACCCTTGAGAGTTTGGCTTCACCAGAGCACCATCTCCACCTTTGCCTGTCTCCATGACCCAGCCAGCCTGGCAGGGAGCTCATGCCCGCTTCGCAATTCATTCCTTGCTTTGTTGACAAAAGGATGCCAACACAGACTGCAAGTGTGTTTAAACTTCCCACTGTTGACACAAAGTTGCCTGGAAGCCAGGAGGGCAGGGAAGCCTCGTGGTTAAGAGGCAGAGCCACCTTGCCAGGGTCTGAATCTCAGCGTTGCTGCTTACTGGCCAGGGGACTTGGGCAAGATGTGTAACTTCTCTACGCCTCCATTTCCCCAGCCGCAAACGGGAATAACACAGTGCCTCGCTCCCCTCCACCCCCAGAGTCACTGTGAACATGCAAACAGTCAGCGAAAAAAGCCAGACTGGGCTGGGTGTGGAAGGAGGGGCAAGCCCAGGTCGAGTGTCCCTGGGCTGCAGCCTGGCCACCTGCAGAGGCTGGGCCAGAGCCTCTGAGCCTTCTTTGACCTTGACAGTCTCTCCTCCTCTGGCAAGGCAAGCTCCTTCCAGCTCCACCTTGGCCCGTGGGAGTGTCACAGCTCCTGCCTGGGTCCTCCTGCCCACCAACGTCCTGCCCTGCCTTGCCAAGCTGACAAGCTCTGTGCAGTCCCGCCCTAAAGGGAGCAGGCGCCTCTTCGCAGTTTGCTGTGGGAGGGACTGCATATTTTTGAAGCTCTTCCTGGATGCCTAATTTTCTTCCTTACAACAAGGGTGCAAGGTTTCAGTCGTCAGCGCCCTCGCTTCACAGTGAGGACCCAGAGCCTTGGAGAGGTCTGCCCAGGTGTCAGGCTGGGCTCCTCAGGGGTGGAAGTTTGGAAGATGGGAGAAAGTTCTTGGCTACGTTTAGGAAATTTTTCCAAGACCTCAACGCACAGTTCTCACAAGGACTTTTGGAGCTGAGCTGACACCTAGTGGTCACAAGTGGGAATTCCTCCCCCTTTGCAGGCCCCCAGGGGCGGTTGCAGCAGGTTTGGGGCTTGGCAGTCCATCCTTCACTTACTTGGAGGTGGCTGTGTCAAGAGATGTCCTGGAGGGTTGGTGCTGGTTGGGGGAGTAGATTTCAACTTCCCTGTAATCCCCATCATTCCCCAAAAAGCAACTCAAACAAAAATAAAATTTGATAACAATACTTGCTGCCTTTTCAATGTTATGCAAAAGAGGAGAACAACACATCTCGGGGGAAAATGTGTCTTTATTGATCATAACCATCACATATTTGTAATTTGCCCATTACACATTCGGATACTTTGCAGCCTCTCCTTCCAGCCCACACATAACCCTCAGGGTTCCACCCGGACACCGACATTTATTGGATGCTCAGTTACAGGCCAGGCACTTGGAGAGTTTTATGGGTTATAATAGATGTTAAAAACGTGATCCTTGCCAGCAAGGGACTCCTTTTATTTGGAGAGAGAAAGCAGACACCTACAGAGCACTCGGACGTCATGGTGGACGTTTAGCCCATACACTCCTCACTGCATTTCTTTATTGTCTCTTCATCTTCCTAATTCTGACCCTGAGCCCCTATTTTGCCCAGCTGATGGAGATTCAACTGCGGGACTATGCTCAGGGCTGTGCCAATGACTCAAGTCCTCTGTGGTGCTCACCTGTCACCTGTCCACACTGATCATTTATTGCAGGGGCCTTTGTTTCCAGCTCACAGACATCTCCAGAGCCGCTGCTCAGCTGCACTTATGGGGTGCTGGGACAGGGGGCCCTGGAGAGGCTGGGGACTCAGGAGGGCCAGCCCTTGGGGCGCGCAACTCAGCTGCTTGCTCTGAGCTCCTGGCAGACCTGGCCTCCTTCCCCTCCCCGCAGTGCTTGGGAAGCCACCCTCAGGGCTCCTGTGGCCCTCCTTCTCTGCCCTCTCCTCAGGTTCTGTTCTCCCCAGTAAGCTTACGCTGTGGGAAATGTGAGCTAGGGAGGAGCAGGTTTTGCTAGAAACTTCTACCCTGGCCCTAAACCCTATCAAGGGTAAAAACTGCATAAGGAAAGGAGAAAATATGGCATGCGATGGGGGACACATTATTTCAAATACTAATTGTGCCACATGTGCCGAGCGGCCTCCGCATTCGCCTCCACCCTTGATGAAGCCAAGAGAAGCCCAAGGGCTGGTGCTTGGTTCCTACCCCCCTACCAGTGCTCCAAAGTGGGGATTCCTGGATATGGGCGTTCCCCCAACCCCCAAACTTTCCCCTGAGCTTTCCACCATTCACACCAAACAATGGCCAGGTGAACGTGCTCCACAGGCGTTTATTGGGCACCCTCTACATGCAGGGGGCTACTGAGGCACAGGGGACAGTCCCTGTTCATGCACAGGGGTGACTGGTGAGGCTACTCAAAACCCTTGAAGGTGCCGGTCCACCCATCTGGTCAGTGGACACTGTTTTTGGCTATTCCTTTTCCTCTTTTGCTAAGCTCTTCCTGTCTCCCCAGTTTCCCAGAGGATTTTAGAATGAAAGGCAGAATGATGGACTCCCACAATGGATCAGGAAGCCTTTATTTCAGCGGTTCCATTTTTCAGGTGGAACCACTTAGGCTCAAGCTCATCCAGGACGAGATGCCAGGTCTCTCAGTCTCCCGTCCTGGGCTCCCTCCATGTGACCCCTTGGCATTTGCTTCTAGAGGCTCCTGCCTTCATTCCATCAGCTCTGTCCCCCCCACCACTCCTTCCTGTCTAGGAAATGTCCCATGGACACAGTTTAAAACCACTATGACGACTGCTTTTGTGCCCTGACCTGCTCCTCGATGCTCTTTTCCTGCTGCTTAGCAACCTCATTACATTCCCAATTTGTGCACCTCTTTTTTTTGTTTGTTTGTTTGTTTGTTTGTTTTTTTGAGTCAGAGTCTCACTCTGTTGCCCGGGCTAGAGTGCTGTGGCATCAGCCTAGCTCACAGCAACCTCAAACTCCTGGGCTAAGCAATCCTTCTGCCTCAGCCTCCCAAGTAGCTGGGACTACAGGCATGTGCCACCATGCCTGGCTAATTTTTTCTATATATTTTTAGTTGGCCAATTAATTTCTTTCTATTTTTAGTAGAGAGGAGGTCTCAGTCTTGCTCAGGCTGGTTTCGAACTCCTGACCTTGAGCAATCTGCCCGCCTCGGCCTCCTAAAGTGCTAGGATTACAGGCATGAGCCACCGTGCCTGGCCAATGTCCACTTCTTAATGATACCACAACACCATGTCCCCTGGTGGTCACTAAAACCAGAAGGTGCCCCATGGTGAAGGGCACGCCCACCAGCACCCCAGGACACCCAGAATCAAGCTGGATTTTATTTGCTCATGCACTGGCCTGGCCTTGGCATTTGTCCATTGATGTTTGGCCACGTCTTGGTCTCCTCCGTGGCACCGTCCAACTGGCCAGGACTTCTCTTGTCGAGACTTCTTTCCAGACCAGACTTGCAGCTATGTCTTTGCCGTATTCAAGAAACTGCTTTGAAAGATAAGAGAATAATGCTGAGTGCAGCCTCGTGGCCGATTGGCGAGAACGTTAAGACAGGCTCATATCCAAACGAGACCCTTTGTAAAACCATCTCTTATCTAGGCAGCGTTTGGAACGTGGGTAAGTTCAGCATCGGCACAGGGGTGCTGTAGAGCCCTGCTTTACGTGATTGGCAAGGGCTCGGCAGAGTTAAACTTTAGAATGTGACGCCCTCTGACCTGGCAATTGCTGGGTCCACTCCACCAAACCTATTTTGAGAAACACTATATACTGTGTACAAGGATGTTTGCGACAGTGTTATTTGTAGTAGCAAAATATTGGAAATAGCTTAAATGTCCATAAAATGAGCTTAAGTTATGAGACTCTTGTGCTATGAAATATTATGAGACAATTAAAAAGATTGAGAGGGGTTTAAATGTGCCAACATGGAAAGGTCACCAAGATGTACTGTTAGGACAAAGCAAGATAGTCTCTGATTCTATTAGTGATAAGAAACTGTGCGTGTGTGAAACAGCAGATAATAAACCCACATGAACTGTGCCCCCCTACTGTGTCCCAGGTAGTGTTCTAAACGCCTTGGGGGCATGAACTCACTCAGGCCTCAGACACTCCTGTGCTGCGGGTGCTGTTATTAGCTCCAAAATACAGATGAGGAAACTGAGACACAGAGCGACCAGATAACTTGCCCAGGGTTTCGCAGGAGTGGAGCTGGGATGGGAACCCACGTGGGCGGCCCTAGAAACCGTGTTTTTAACCATCGTTTCTCCCCCGCCCCACACACCCGCACATGTGCCCGTGCAGGAACACACATGATGACAAGGGCACGGGAAAGGCGTGGAGTCGAGTGTCTGTGACAGCCCTTCTGGGAGGCGGGGAGCTGTTGGGGGAGATTAAGAAGGACCTTCATTCTCTCCTTGCTGCACTTCTGTGGACTTAGAACTTTTACGATTGGAGATTATTTGTAACAAAACATAAAAGTTGAAAAGATTCACGCAACAGTATAAAGTACCACTCTGCTCCTCAGTCAGCACTGACAGAGAGGCAGTGTGGGATCCGACAGGCAACTTGAGGTGACTCCAAGAGCCCCCCAAATCGGGTCCTGGGACTGGGTGGCCAGGCCCCAGTTCCGCCTCTCGACCACATGACCTTACTTATCTGCAGCCTGGAGAGTTTGCCGGGCTTGGAACCTGGTCCCCGGGCTCCGCCACTGCCACTTGCCACCAGCTTCCCAAGGGACAAGTGGTGCCACTTTAGGGCAGGCAGCGGAGGAGGCAGGAGGCGCAGGGCAGAGGCTGCTGAGCTGGACCAGAGCAGGGGGAGGGAACAGTGGGGGGCACAGTGGGAGGTGCAGGGGGGCGGCACACCTGAGACAGCCTTGAGGCCCCCTTGCTGGATGACAGCGTGACTCCTGAGTGATGCCCCATGCCAGCTCCTTCCGTGCGTTTCCCCACTTAATCCTCACGATACCTCTAGGCTGCTGCGGTGCTCACCCCATTTGAAGGCAGGGAGACTGAGAGCCCCGCACACAGCATCTTGTCAAGCAGAGCAGGGTTTGCAGCTGGGCCAGGCTGCCCTTCCTGTCCCCGTTATTGGGGAAGGCTCGTGGGGCAGGGCTGGACAGGGGCCTCCTCCACTGGGGCTCCTTAAGGACACAGGCCAGGCTTAAGGCCCCGGGGCCATGCCTGGTGGGGGCAGCGACAGCAGGTCTGGAACCACAGGGGCTGGGCCAGGGCCAGAGCCGCCCCTTCCCCGCTGTGAGGATGAGGGGCTTTGCCTCACTTCTCTGAAGCTCAGTTTCATCGCTTGCTCAGTGGGGGTGGCGGTGGTACTGCCGTCCCGCACCGGCAGGACTCAGTATGCGCCTGTCTGGTGACAGGAGAGGACCTGGCACATGGCGGGGGCTCACTGGGGGCTGGTCACTGTCGTCACTGCCATCATGGACCTTCCCCTTCTCTTGAGGAATCTGGCCCAAGTCGCAGCCCATCTCACTCCCTGAGCTACAGCAGAGCTGACCAACCTGTGGTTCGCCACATGCCACTGGGGCGCCCCAGCATTTGGGGCTCTTTCCCTCTGCTCTCTCTGTCTCTCTGCCACACCAGCCGCCTGAGTGGTGCCTCCTCTTTAGGGTACAAGGGCGCCTGGAGCACACCCACTGCTCCGCTCACTCCAAGAGGGCCTGACCTTGGGCTCCTGGCGTCACCTCCCACAGGGCCGTGAGTGTGGGGCTGCAGCTCCTGCCGGCATGCCTAGCGTGTGGCCCACAGCCAGCAGCGTGCGGCAGGGGCCCAAGCTTTGCTAAACAACTGCCTTGGAGATGAGAGGGAGGGTGAGCCCTGCGGCCTGGCCCCTCGGTGCAGGGAGAAGGCGGCCAGAGCCGCAAGGCAGGGGCGGCCCTCACTAAGCAAACGCAGACAGGGTGGCCAGGAGCTCCCATCCACCCCGCCAGGGCCCCTCTTGAAGAGTGCTGGGGACGGCCGTGCTGACCTGAAGTTCACCATGCCTGTCCTCTCATCCAGCCTCTTTATCAGCTCTGTGATTTGGAGCCGGTTCAGAGGGATCTTGGTTTGCTGAGGATGTAGATGGAACACGTGCGGTTAACAGAGCTCTGTGTTCACCCCCTCTCCGGACACCCCTCCATTCTATCGCTCTCTCTCACACAGACACCACATAATGTCCTACCCCTCTTGGGACCGTGGATGGCAACTGAGAGTGAGCTCAGAGGAAACTGAACTCACAGCATGGAGGGGTGGAAGAAGCTCCATGCCCGTAGGACATGCCCAGACCCCAGAGTGCCTCCCTTTTCTGGGGAGCAATAAGGGGACTGGAGGTCAGGGTCAGGTGACGGGGGTGGCCCTGGGCTGGACAGAGCTCTCCTCTGCAGCTACCGAGTCCTGGCCAGCTCTTCTCACCATGGGCCTGGACCCCACCATGTCCCCTCCCAGGTCCTATTTTTGCAGGGCCCAGTTCCCTCCTAGGATGCTCTGATGATGGACACCTTCGAGGATGCATGTCAGGGGGCCTTTTGTGCCTTTATTATATGGGGGTGAGGAGAATGAGGGATTTCAGGCAAGAGGATATGGCCAAAGGTGGAAATATTGGGGCTTTGGCATGTGATCTTCTCTCATTTCCTTTTTATCTGCCCAATAGCCAACCGCAATGGGAGAAAGACCTCAAGATAGAACATCTGCCTTTGGGTGGCATCTTGGGTCATCAGTGGCTTCAAGTACAGCACAGAGAATGACTCCAGCAAGGGTTGAGGGACGTCTCGGGTTCCTCTCTGGATCCAGATAAATGAGGTGAGTGTCCCACAGCTAAACCCAGGAAGCTCTCCCAAGTGCCTGCACACTCTCTCTGTTGCACACACAGCACCTGTGGCCACCAGGAATCAATCGGCATACCTGTGTCATAGCTTTCCGGAACTCACCCACATGCATCTTCATTGTCCCAGTGGGGTTGAAGCTCTTGAGGAGGTCCACCACCGTGATTTTTTGCTGGTCTGCATAGTTCTGAGAAAGTGGGAGACACCAGGTGCAAACACTTGTCCTTACAGCAATGACCACAACTGCCCCCCACTCCCCCTCCAAAGGCGGACCCAGCTCCCAGGCCCAGAAAGGCTGAGAACAGGGAAGGCAGACACGAGGACCTGGGATGGCTCTTGTGTGCTCGCCCAGGTTCTCGCAGCCCTACCCCACGGAGCAGGGGCTCTGTCCATTCCCAGGGTCCGAGGGCAATGCTGCAAAGGTGCCACAGCATCCAGGGGACAGGGCTGGGGGTCATATCCACGTGTACGATTTGGGTTCGTGGTGGCCTCTGTTAGGACTAGTCTCCAGGGTGCACTGTGGCTGGTGCGTGGGATGTTGTTAGCGCAAAGATGAAAGTTAAACCACAGCCACGTAGTGTGATGGTTGCACAGGCTCTAGGCCTTCCCTGGATTCTCACTGCTCCACACAAATGCTCACAAGGAGACATGCTTTGTTAGAATATATTTTAAAATAATATTTCATTTCAAAAATACAGTCATCCTCAGTATCCACAGGGCATTGGTTCTAGAGCCCCATCAATACCGAAATCTGAGGATGGTCAGGTTCTGCAGTCGGCCCTGCGAACCCACGGACACAAAAACGTGGGCCCTGGGGCTGTGGCGGGCCCTCTGTACCCATGGGTTTTGCATCCCGTGAATACTGTATTTTCCATCCACATGTGGCTGCATATGCAGAGCCTGTGTGTATGGAACGCCAACTGGACTTATTGAAAAAAATCCTCGTGTAAGTAGACCTGTGCAGTTCAAACCCGTGTTTTTCAAGGGTCAGCTGTATTACCTACTCACCTTGGAAGGCCATTTTAGATTAGCAGAAGAAAGTAAAAAGTAACACATAAGTCCAATGTCACCATCCAGAAGTAACATCTTTGTGTGTATCCTCGTATCTACCCATCCATCTATCTCTCTCTCTGACATCTCTCTATTAATAGCTGTGTAACATCTATCTGTCTAACATCTAACATCTACCTATCATCTTTCTACTACAGCTACTGTCTTAAAAAAACTCACTGTACTAACACACCATGGACACATTTTCAATGTCATTAAAATATTCTCTTGGGTTCTTTTTTTAAAAAATTATCTTTTGTTTCTCTCCCTCTCCCACTTTCAAAAGCCCCTTGCTGTACTGTTAGGCATTCCATAGACCCTGTGGTCAGCACCTCGACCAGAATCAGGGCCTGTCCCTTCGGTGGCGGGCGCTACTGACAAGGCCCGACACAGCCCCTGCCCTGGGGGAGCAGTTCACAGTGTCCCGATGAAAGGGTGAAGCCAAGGCTATGGGAGCACGTGGTGAGGCCATTTATTCTCTACTAGGGAATCTGAGAAGGGGTCCCCAAGGAAGCGGCACTTGAGTAGAGACCCCGAGCACGAGCAGGAACAAGCGGACACAGAGGGCAAGGAGAAGCGTGTTCCAGGTGGAAGGAGCTGCACATGCACAGGCCTGCAGTTATGAGAGAACTGACGCAAAGAGGAGCAGGGAGAAAGCCAGGGGGCCTGAGATGTGGAGCAGGGCCGGGCGGTGGCCACTCTCCCACCTGCGCTTCCTTGCCTCTGCCAAAGCTACCACCTCTTTTGCCCCTTGGGCTTGAATTTCTGGGTTATTTTTGGGTCTATCTTATCACCACAAGCCTTTCTTCTCCCAACACACACACACACACACACACACACACGTGCACCCCATACCCAACCATTCCCCAAGTCCTGGAGGTGTTTTCGTAATGAGATCTCTTGCATCTGTCCTTTACTCTCATTGCCATTCTCACCCAAGTCACTGTTCCACATCTGGAATACTGCGACAGTGTCCTCCCTTGTTTTCCCACTCTTGTCTCTACCTGCTTCAGTTCCTTCCACTCCCCACTGCCAGGAAAGCTACTCCTCGGTCCCGCTGGGCTCATATCACATCCACTGCTCAGCAGCTCTTGCTGGCTCTGTCCTCTCGGTGAAATCACACCCGAGCTCTGGGCCTAGAATCTGAGGACTGCCACTTCCGTCCCACCTCCTTCACCAGCTTTGACTTTAAGGCTCCTCTATGAGCCTGGAGCCACATGGCTCTTTTGTTGGAGCCATGTGGTTCTGTTCACATCCCCTAAACATGCTGTGTGCCATCCCACCTGGGAGGTTCTACCAGCAGGACCCTCTTCCCAGAACTCCCTCCCAGGCCCTGCGGCTCACCTGAATGCTTTGCTCTCTTGGAGGCACTTCCCCGACACACGTTGGTCAGGAAGTCCTCCTTTTCTGTTCGCCCAATCCTACCCGGATCTCCACTTTGCATTCTTATTATATTTGCTGTCACTTATTTATCATGGCACTTTCTGCGAGTCATTTCTGAATCTATCCCATATTTCCAACCAGAGTGTTTGCCCCTGAGGGGAAGGACTATGTTTTACAGTGTGCTTCCTGTTTGGTTTCTACTCCAAGGTTCTTTTTCCGTAGCTGCTTTAAAACAAGGGGTGGGAGCCCCGCTTTGCATTAGACAACTCCATTCCTGCTTGCAGGAACACCCTGCTCCCCTTGCAAAACAGGTTTGCCCTTGGTAGTTCCATCTGAAGTCATATTACTCATGAAAATACTGGATACCTGTTTGCCTTCTAGAACTTTCCACACCACACTACTGTTCGTGCAAGAGCTCTTTTATTTAGTGCCAGAAACTCAGGCACAGAGCAGACCCGCCAGGGCCAGGAAACAGCCCTTGGGGTGCACATCCTGCAGAACCAGCATTTGCACCAAATCGCCCTGTTCCTGCTTCCTGCAGCCTCCCAGCTGCAGGCTCCTCGTTCCCGCCAGTGGGCGAGAGGCCGGGTCGCTGCTCTGGGCAATGGGGACTAGAAGAGCAATAACAGCCCTCTCAGCGCTAATAGTCACTGATTTTATATTTCCACCATTACATCCACCTCCTGTGATTGCCAGAAAAGGTCTAAGAAAAGGTGAGCCAGGTCCAAGTTACCACTAGAAATAAAGTGCCCCTTTTTAGCTGAAGCCACAAAATGCCATCCTGATCACAGGGAGGTCCTGGCATTCTTACCAGCTGTCAGAAAAGAACCTGTGTTTATTGGGTGCTTATTATATACCAGGCATTCTTCTAAGCACTGCATGCGTATTACATAACTTATTCTTCCAAGCAATCCTACTGCGGTGGGCACCACTGTTATGCCCATTCTACAGGTGGGGAGACTGAGGCAGAGAGCCTCGGTGACTCGCCCTTGGTCATACATTAGCAGGTGGAGGAGCCTGGGCAGGCGAGTCCATCCTGTGCCAAGCCCCTCCCACTTCAGCCAGATCTCAGCCCTTGCCCCTTCTCTGGGAGTTGGGAAGCACTGCTGGGAATCCAGTATCTGCAGGGCGAGGCACTGAGACATTCCTTGGCAGAGAGGATTGTACAGACACTTTGGGCGGATCCAAAGGCCAGCTTTCTCTAGGGCTCCCTGGAGGGCTGGGAGGAAGGCAGGAGCTCACCTGGATCACTTTTATGGGGTTTTTCCACAACAAGATGGTTTTCTTGGCAGAGAAGCCTTGCACTGTCTTGTACTCCACGTTCAGCTGCGGGTGAACAGCGTATACCCCCTCCAGTGTTTTCACAAACTGCTCAGTCACCAGCACATTCTGTGGCAGGGAGAGAGGGGACCCATCACGACAAGGGAACCACCACTGTGCCATCTCCCTGCCCAGCCAGGAGGTCCTCTCCCTCCCACCCAAGCCAAAGCCAGGAAGTTTTGTCTTTTCCACTTTGTTCTGCAGTGCTACTCCTAGATTGGGATGGTTCCGGTGTTTTAGAGCTTGTGATTTGAGTTGTAAGTTTCTTACACAATTTTGATCAGATGTTTCATTGAGTGCTGGTGGCCTGTCACCTGCTGCCAGCTCAGCTCTGTTCTCTCTCTTTTTTTGTTTTTTTCCCTGCTGTGCTCCTGTGCGGACAGCTCTGTTCTCAGATGGTGTGTGTAAGGGCCTTTTTGTTTTGAGCCAGTCTCACCTGTGGCTGGGGCTAGAGTGCAGTGGCGTCAGCCTAGCTCACAGCAACCTCAAACTCCTAGGCTCAAGCGATCTTCCTGCCTCAGCCTCCCGAGTAGTGGGGACTACAGGTGCGCACCACACGCCCAGTTATTTTTTACTATTTTTAGTAGCGAGGTGGAATCTCGCTCTTGCTCCAGCTGGTCTCAAACTCCGACCTCAAGTGGTCCTCCCGCCCACCTAGACCTCCCAAAGTGCTAGGATTACAGGCATGAGCCACCACACCCATCCAAGGGACTGGTCCTTAAACAAATACCCTGAAATGTCCATATCTATGTGAGTGTTGTTCTTCAGAGCAGGAGCCCTGGAAGAGGATCCCTTATTCTAACAAGAGAGTCAAAACAAATTGGGAACCTCCCGTTTTGGAAGTACCCTCAGAGCTGGTTTGTAGCAGCCTTTTTGGCACCAGGGACTGGTTTCATAGAAGAAAAATTTTCCATGCATGGGGAGAGGGGGGTGGCAGAGCTCTGTGGCCCAGTTGGAGACTGCAGGTTTATAGGATATAGGAGAAAATGTGTTCTGGGAAATAGTGTTTGATCAAACCTGACTTCAACCAGTTTGATCAATCTGCTTCATTCCTCAGATGTGGTTCTGAGTACCTTTTGCTTTTTCAAAGAATTAAACCCCTGCTGAAGGGCTAAAGACTGTAGATATTCTAGAGAAAGTTCTAGAAGCATCTACAAAGGAGGAATTCTAACACTGCTTAGAGTTATGGCAGCATGGCTGACAAAAGGGAAGGAAAAGGCTAATTCACTCGGACTGATGTGTTCTGGGAGGCTGGTTAAGTGCCAACATGGTCGCAGCTCACAGGTTGATGTGCCACCCAGGGCCTAATTAGCACCGTTTCTAATGCTCCCTCCAGCACACCAAGATGGTGCCTGGGTCCACACCCTCCAACCTGTATCGTGGGGGGAAAAACAAATGCCAACAAAATCTGAACTTGCGGCTGAGACTCAGAGGCAGGGCGGGGTGGGGCCGGGGCAGCACCCTGGGGTGCACGGTCAGAACCCCAGCATGAGGGTGGGGAAAGGGCTTCTGGGGAGGAGGCAGACCCAGAGGCACAGAGGGACCTGGGGCAGGAAGGAAGGGGTGAAGGAACAAAGGGAAAAGAAAAGCAGCTATATTTTTATAATGTCTTAAAATCTGTGGCAAATAGAAATCCAAATTTTACCAATTATTCACTTCTAAGGAGCTTGGGTTGAAATATTCAGAATGTTGTCACTGATATAATTGCAAAGTGTTAAAATTGTCTTACAAAACATCCTATTTGTGTGGCATTAAAAATGTAAGAGGACTTTAACTTCGTACCTTTGTAGAACTCTAGAGTAGGATGCAGAGCCCTGGGTTTACTCCTTGCTGTGTTTCTCATTGCTGTGGATCGTGGGCAAATGACCTAACCTCTCTGTTTCAGTTTCCTTATATGTAAAATGGGAAAATGAGGAAAAGTGCTTGTTATGGGTTGAATTTTGCTCCCTTCCCTCAAAAGATGCTGAAGTTCTAAGCTCCAGGACCAGTAAATGTGAATTTGTTTGGAAATAGGGTCTTTGCAGATGACCAAATTAAAATGAGGTCTTTAGGGTGGGCGCTAATCCAATTCGGCTATGTCCTTATTAATAGGGGGCATTTGGATACAGAAACAGGGAGATGCCATGGGAAGGTGAAGGCAGAGGTTGGGGTGATGCTTCTATAAGCAGAGGGCCACCAAAGACAGTCAGCAAACGACCAGGGGCGAAGGGAGAGGTCTGGAACAAATTCTCCCTCACGGCCCTCAGAAGAAACTGACACTGCTAACGCTTTGATTTTGGACTTCCAGCCCCCAGAACCGTGAGCCAACACATTTCTGTTGCTTAAACCACCCAGTTTGTGGTACTTTGTCACGGCAGCTCTAGGAAACCAATACAGTACTCCACCTACCAACTAGAGAAGGATCAAATGAGCTGGCACATATAAAATCACTTTGGGAAAAAAGAGTATAAAATGGTAGACAAGGGTAGGATATTGTCATCACCTCTATGCTGATTCGGGCAAGAGCACCTGGAAGGAGGCTTTCCTCCTTCATCAAGAGATTTCCACCCACCGATACTACTCTGAGTACAATAGGCCAAGGCATGAAATGAAAGTACCGAGTTTATATATGTTTTAATACCCAGATTCTAAAAAACCCATGACCCTGAAACCACTCTGGGGTCCAGGGCCATTCATTAGCAAGGCTGATGGTAAGGTCTGTTTGGGGATCCTCCTGCCTTTCACTTTGGTGTTTCCTTGGCTCTAGTCTCAGGTGTTCATGGACTGGGTTTCCAGGATCTGGCAAATTGTTTTATCCTGAGATGTTATTGACCAAATGGCTACTCCTACTGGAGGGGTTCCCAGAGAGGGCACAGCTGTACCCAAGGAGTAATGACCATTTCCTGGAGCATTTGTGTGAGGGCCTGTAAGGGACATGGCTGTGGGCCCTGGCTAACACAGGCTGGGAAGGGTCACCGGCTTTCACTCTGGTGCAAGCAACCACCATTTGATCACTTACGGAAATGTCAAGCTCTTCCATTCTGGATTTGGGGTTCTTCTTGATGGACAGGACAAGTAAAACAGCCCCATCAATATTGATAGGATTCAGGAAAAGCTACAGAGGGAGGGGCAAGACAAGAAGAGGCTGAGTTGGGCGCTGGAGAGTCTGGCTTAGAGCATGGCATCAAGTTCTCATCAAATCACAACCTCTGTATTCCTCCAAGAGTTTTCTTTCAGTACTTGTCTGCCTGCCCATCTGTCTGTCTACCCATCCAACCATCTTACTGCTCATCCATCCATCCATCCATCCATCCATCCATCCATCCATCCATCCACCTGTCCATATCACTGCTCATCCATCCATTCATTCATCTATTCAACCACCTGTCCATTTCACTGCTCCTCTATCCATCTATTTATCTGCCCATCCATACATCCACCTGTCCATCTCACTGCTCATCCATCCATCTGTCCATCTGTCCATCCCTCCAACACATATTTATTAGAGGCCTGCCATATGCCAGCAACTGGGCTAAGCACCGAGGGATGCACAAGAAGACATGACAAATTTTCTGCCCTCGGGTAGCTTACTGCTCTAGCCTCAAGAGACAGGCAAACAAGCCAACAGCATCAGAAATGTGATGACCTCAATGACAAAGGTACACACGGGTACTACAGGAGCAGGGAGAAGAGCATAAAGAACAGGGGAGGGATGATGAGCTAAGCCTTGCAGGACTAATGAGAATTGGTTGGGTCTAATGAAGGGAGAGCAGAACGAGAGGAAGGAATGAGCTTCACCAAAGATGAGAAGGTTATGAGCAAAGGCATAGAGATGTGAAATAGCACATGGTGTTCCTGAACTGGGGCAGAGACATGAGGCCACAGACCTGGGATGGGCCACATCACAGAGGACCTTGTGCGCCTAGCTAAGGAATTAAGACATTATCTCAGTGGTGCTGGCAGCCACTGAATCATGGATAGAGGTTAATGGCAGGAACATAGAGCATTGATTCCCTGACCACTTGCAGTGGCTCACACCTGTAATCCAGGGAGGCTAAGGATTACAGTAATCTGGGAGGCTAAGGCAGGAGGATCGCTTGATGTCAAGGGTTTGAGACCAGCCTGAGCAAGAGCGAGACCCCCATCTCTACTAAAAATAGAAAGAAATTAGCCAGGCAACTAAAAATAGAAAATATTAGCCAGGCATGATGGTGCATGCCTGTAGTCCCAGCTACTCGGGAGGCTAAGGCAGGAAGATCGCTTAAGCCCAGGAGTTTGAGGTTGCAGTGAGCAATGATGATGCCACTGCACTCCAGCCCAGGCAACAGAGTGAGAGCCTGTCTTAAAAAAAAAAAAAGAGTGCCTGGCACATAGCAAGTAGTCAATGAGCATTATTATCATTATTGAAGGCTTTCAGCTGGGTGGCTTCACTGAGCACCTACTATATACCAGCTGTTTCCCAGGCTCTGATGTACTCCAGGGGGAAATATAGACCCAGGCCCTGCTCTCATGGAGATCAGCATCTAGAATCCTTTGCCGGATTCACTTCCCATGGAATTCCTTATTTTCCCAAGATTAGAGGCCAGGCTTCTGGGGCTGGATGTGAAGAACAATAGATAATTCCTGTGGCAAAGTTAATGTGGTCTCCACCTGTGGCCAAACTAAGAGTTTTGTCTTAAACTTTTTCACTTCTAAAACATTTTTAAAAATTCAAATATATTAGTTACACATGGTCATTATGGAAAAATTAGAAGAGAGGTAAAAAATGCTTTAAGTTTCCTTTAAGTACCAACCAGACACAACCCCTGTTGCCATTTTGCTAAGGCAACTTTTTTTTTTTTTTTTTTGAGACAAGGTCTCACTCTGTCACCTAGGCTACAGTGCAGTGACATGATCCTAGCTCCCAGCAACCTCAAACTCCCGAGCTTAAGCAAACCTCCTGCCTCAGCCTCCCAAGTAGCTGGGACTACAGACATGCACCACCACATCTGGCTAATTTTTTTTTTATTTTTGATAGAGAAGGGGTCTCACTCTTGCTCAGGCTGGTCTCGTACTCAAGCAATTCTCCTGCCTCTGCCTCCCAAAGTGCTAGGATCACAGGAGTGAGCCACTCAACCAGCTGGCAACTTCTTAGTTTTTTAAAAACATTCAGAGATTCTTAGAATGTCTTTGGCCTCATTAGTCACCGAGGCTGAATCGTCCTCAGCCTGGGGCGGTCTCTCTTCCCTGGGTTACGTACGCCTCGTCCCACTCCATCCCAGCTGGGACTTCCAACTCTCCTGGGCACTAGGTGGCCAGTCTGGTCTGGTCTGTGGTCACCATGCTCCTTCTGCCAGCCCAGCTCTGGTGTCCTCTTGTCCCTTCTTGGCTCCCCTCAAGTGGCAGGCTCATCCTCACTATTTCCTCCCTCCCATTCTCTCCCATCAGGACTCCTGCATCTGTCGTCCCCACAACCACCCTCACATCTTGAGGGGCTTGCAGTTGCCACGGAAAGCCAGACAGAGCTGGCTTCCCTCTGCCTCTTGCTACTTGTGTGGCCTGAGCCAGCCATAAAGCCTCAGTTTTCTCATCTGACAAGTGGAGCCAACGGAGCCCACTTTGTCAGTTGGGCTGTGAGTAATGAGCATCTGTCAAGGGACCTGGCTCGTGGCTCCTGCCCCAGGAAGGGGAAGGATGAATAGAAGTCCTCATCTTTCGTCTGTTTCCCAACTGCTCAGTGGCGTCTGCATTATAAGTTAGCATCTACAGGCTGATTCATTTAAAAAGAAATACGTATCCATTCATTCATTGCATAAGTACTCACTAGGCATCGGCCATGCACCCAGCACTGCGCTAGGCGTGAGAGGTGTCACAATGGGCAAAGCCAAATAGTCTTTGTTCTCGTGGGGTTCTCATACTGGTGGAGGTGACAGGCCATCAGAGAGCCACTCAAGGGACAGTGTGATCAGAAAGGGCAGCAAGTTCTGCGGGAAGGAGTGCGCAGGGTTCGGGGAGCAGCTACCCTAGATGGAGGACCCGGCAGGGCTCTCTGAGGAGCTGCTGCTCGAAGCAGGTGCAGGGGAGCATAGATGAGGGAGCGCGGCAGGCCAGGTGCTGGAAGGAGGAAAGGAGCGGAGGGAAGCCCGAGCGGCCTTGGGTGGAGGGCAGGGGAGAGCACGGGCAGACGGAGGCTGGAGGGCTGGAGAACTGGGCTTGAGCACCAGGAAGCCACTGGGGCTGACCAGAAAGAGAGGAGACTGGGGGGAGTGGGGAGGGGAATGGAAGTCAGATTTGCATCCAAAAAGCACATTCTGGCTGCGATGTGGACAGGAGCCTAAAGGAGTCCCAGATGGGAGGAAGGAAGACCAGTTGGAGACGCGTGCAGTGCACCAGGGAGAGCCCAGGGCGACACTGGGTTTATAGCAGAGAGGTCAAGAATATATGCATATATGACATAAAGAGAGCTGTCCCCAGCAATTCTCTCCAGGAATATGCAGCCCATTACCCTGCGGCCCCCCCCCCCCACACACACACACGCACGCACACATGCGGACACATGCATAGACACATGTGCACAGAACAGCCCCTTCCAGCGCAGGCAAAGACTACCTTCAGGACTTTGAGGTTTTCGTTGTACTCCAGTCCTCTGCTGAGTTTGGAGGCTCCCTCGTTGCTGATGTCGTTGCCGCTGATGTCTAGGTAGGCCAGGGAGCCGTTGAGTCTGAGGACCTCCCCTAGGGCCAGGGCCCCCTCGTTCCCAAAGCCATTCATGGAGAGATCCAGCTTCTTCAGGGTCACGTTAGACTCCAGGAGAGGGGAGAACAGCACCCAGCATCAAGGCCGCCTGGGACTCATTCAGCCCGATGGGCCCTGATTCCTGTCCCCTGCTGGCACCCAGCCTGGGCACTCGGTGGTCCCGGGATCATCCAAAGCCCTCCCATCTGGGCTGAGAGCCTCAAAAAAATTCTCTCGAGACTCACTCCCTTTGGGTTCTGGTCATTCCCTATCCCGAATTAAACTGCCCTCTTGAAGTCTCCCCAAAGATGCCATCCTAGGCCTCAGCAGGTAGGATCTACACTAAGGAATAACATGCATCCAGGAATTGTGGGAGGGAGACCAACACATGGAAAGGATTTGGTGAGAGCTCAGTACGCCCTCGTCAGAGGTGCCCCCGAGGAAGAGGTTCATGAAGGCAGGACAGGATGGGAGGCCCTGGCAGTCCTCACCCGGGCTCAGCCCACCACTCCCTGAGAGCACCTTACCCGGAGACCGTTGCACAGGGCCACAGCTCCCCGCACGTGGAAGTGATTCCAGCTCAGATCCAGCGACATGAGCCCTACATTGATGCCTGGGAGAGGGAGGCAGTTGGCTTGGCACCCCCCACATCCCAGAAAACCTATTCTCAGAGTTAACAGACCTCCGTGACACTGGGGATAAAGATCCTCCATGGTCATGCAAAGAAAAACCCTTACATAATCTTATTTTTCAGTTATTAATTTAAGCACAAAATTGTAAGACGATTCCCAATGCTGGCAAAGAGGTATCGAAATAATCCTACTCATATATTGCAGTTGCCAAGTCAATTGGTATAATCTATTCAACAATATTATCTGATCACAGGTATTTTCCAATTAAAAAGTGTCTACCAGGCCGGGCGCGGTGGCTCACGCCTGTAATCCTAGCACTTTGGGAGGCCGAGGCGGGCGGATTGCTCAAAGTCAGGAGTTCGAAACCAGCCTGAGCGAGACCCCGTCTCTACCAAAAATAGAAACAAATTAATTGACCAACTAAAAATATATACAGAAAAAATTGGCCGGGCATGGTGGCGCATGCCTGTAGTCCCAGCTACTCGGGAGGCTGAGGCAGGAGGATTGCTTGAGCCCAGGAGATTGAGGTTGCTGTGAGCCAGGCTGACGCCACGGCACTCACTCTAGCCTGGGCAACAAAGTGAGACTCTGTCTAAAAAAAAAAAAAAAAAAAAAAAAAAGTGTCTACCCTACCACACACTTCTGGAACTCTACCTAAGGAAACAGCACTGAATGCGGGAAGAGGTAGGTGCCTGCAGGTGTTTCCGTCTGGTGGAATATTGTGCATTAAAATAGATGGAGTTAGCTGGAAAACATCTTCAGGGCCTGTGTTTACATAGGAAGGCTGGGATAGACATGGTGTGTCGAGTCACTTGCTTTTTCATGAAGTGCCACGGGAGCAATGGTGACTCTAGAATTTCTTTCCAGGAGAGCCTTAATGACACAATCAGCTGGAAGTAAAGAGGCATCACCTTTGTTGAGAAGCTGGGTTTGCAGAAAAATCACACTTGTTTTGACTTTTCCTTACAAGCTCCATAATGTTGGGAAAACATCCTACTTAAACACATTATTATTGTTATTTTATTTGGGGAGGGCATTTATGCCGAAGATGCCATCAGATGGAGAGGCTGAAGTCCTCCTGAACCATCACTGAATGGCAGAAATCGCCTTCTGGGCCCAAGAAAAATGTCTTATTTTATCATATTTCTTATGGATGATGCACTGTGTACCTATCATGCTTCTCTGAGTCGACCACCAGATTGCATTTTTGGTAAAGCACACAACATCTTATAGAATTTTGGGAATATACTTTCTCCTGCCTTCATTCTCCTTTTCCGTTCTCCCTCCCTTTCTTCTTACTCTCTCATTTCTTCTCTGCCAATTTCCTCATTTGAGTTATACTTTGCAAACCTACATCTCTCTCTCCTTTTTTGAGACAGAGTCTCACTCTGTTGCCTGGGCTAGAGTGCCGTGGCGTCAACCTAGCTCACAGCAACCCCAAACTCCTGGGCTCAAGCGATCCTCCTGCCTCAGCCTCAGTCCCCTAGCTGGGACTACTGGCATGCACCACCATGCCCAGCTAAGTTTGCCGATATATTTTTAGTTGTTCAGCTACTTTATTTCTAATTTTAGTGGAGACAGGATCTCTCGCTCTTGCTCAGGCTGGTCTGGAACTCCTGACCTTGAGTGATTCCTCCTGCCTAGGCTTCCCACCACGCCTGGCCAAACACACATCTCTTAAACAGCCACACAATTTGGATTTAATTCTGATCTCACCACTTACTAGCTGTGTGACCTCAGGCAGGTTGCTTATACTTCTTTTATTCATTTCCTTATCTGTAAAATGAAGATATCTGCCCAGGGATGAGCATTTAGGTTGCTCCTATTTTTATCTTTTATAACGACACTCTAATAACCTCCCCACACCCTTCTCTGTGTATGTGTGAGAGCTCCTTTTATGGGAGGGAATTGCTGTATCATAGAATATACACATTTTCAAATTTACTAGGTACTGTCAAGTTGTTCTCCAAAGTGCTTCTGCCTAACAGCTTATGAATATTTTTATTTCTCTCTACTGTCCCCCTTGATATTCTCTGACTTTAAACTTTTACAGTTTGGGTAGCTGACAAGGGGAATCATTTTGTTGTTTTATTTTTCATTATTTCTCTATTTAATAAAGAGATTGGGCCGGGCACAGTGGCTCACGCCTGTAATCCTAGCACTGTGGGAGGCCGAGGTGGGCAGATTGCTCAAGGTCAGGAGTTCAAAACCAGCCTTAGCAAGAGTGAGACCCCATCTCTACTAAAAATAGAAAGAAATTAATTGACCAACTAAAAATATATATACAAAAAAATTAGCCAGGCATGGTGGCACATGCCTGTAGTCCCAGCTACTTGGGAGGCTGAGGCAGTAGGATGTCTTGAGCCCAGGAGTTTGAGGTTGCTGTGAGCTAGGCTGATGCCACAGCACTCACTCTAGCCTGGGCAACAAAGTGAGACTCTGTCTCAAAAAAAAAAAAAAAAAAAAAAGAAGAAGAAGAGATTGGGCAATTGGCTTTCTTCTTTTGCTATCCACATGCCTCGACCATGCCTTATTCTATTGGGGTCTTTATCACTGTCTAACTGAACTGTAGGATCTTTTAGCAATATTCTGGATGCTGTTTTTTCTACAAATGCTGCAAATATCTATCTATTCCCTGTCTGTTGCTTGTCTCTTAAGGTTGTTCATGGTTTGTGTCTTATATCATGCGCATGTTTCAAATGTATTGTCAAATATGGGGATTGTTTTTGTTACCGTTTGTGCTTACTGTCCTGTAGTTAATCATCCTCAACTTCCCTGAGCTTATTTCTCTACATGTTCTAATCATTGTAAAGTTTTACTTCCCACATCCAGGTGTTTGCTTCATTTTGAATGTATTTTGGGCATGGTTTACATCATTTTTATAATGGGATCATGTGAAAGTGATTTTAAAAAGGGAGCTTCAGCCCTGACAGGTGACCCTCCCCCAGCCCCTGCCCTCCGTGAGACCTACCCAGCATCTGCCCCAGCTGTTCTCCTCCTGCATCAGAGAATTGGTTGTGGCTGAGATCCAGCCTCTTAATTCGGTAATTGGTCTAGAGAAACAGCAGAAAGAGAGGTTATTTTTATCTTCTGGTTGCAGATATCTCACTTATCTCAGGGTAGTATGATATGGGGCTCCCATGTACCAAAAGTTAGATGGAGACAATTTGTTAGTCATTTTTGTTTAACTACTGATGGCCGCTGGGAGAACTTAGTGTCATCCACATACTTACTGCAGCCCTACCACTTACTGCAGCTTTTGCTGGGGTTGGCTAAACACTCCCCAGCTCCCTAAACCACGCAAGTGGCCTCACTTCACTGTGCCTGTAGCAGCCCCTGGGCTGCCCAGATCTCCCAGGGACACATCCCCATGAGACTCGGGCTGCACCCCCAGCATCTTACCGACAGGGCTTGGCTGAGCAACTCTGCGGCTTCTTCCTTGAGGTGGTTTCCTGTAGTGAGGGTGGTGGGTCAGACCATGGCTCTCCTCACCCTCCCACATCTAGCCCTGCCAGTTCTCTCCCCTTCGGAACAACCAGACATAGAAAAGGTAGCAAGTACTTAAAGCAAATATGCGGACACAAGACAACAGAAGAAAACAAGGCGACTATTTACCCTCTCCTTTAATGTTCCCTTCTCTCTCTGCCATGCAGTTTCAGGAGTTGGTACATCATACCCTGTGCATGCCATGTCAGCACCAGCCCCTACACTAGTTCCTAAAGTCTGGAAGCCTATAAAAAAATGTTAATCCAAGTCTAAGCAGCAGGGCTGGGACTAGGGTGGAGGGAGACAGCTGCTGTGGGTGCAAAATTTAAGGGATGCCAAAAAAACTCATTAATCAAGACAGAGTGAGACTCTGTCTAAAAAAAAAATTATATTAAGAATATTCAAACTCTATTTCTGCATTTTTCCCTAAATACTTCAAACATCATCCTGTATTTTTCAGTGATATATTCAAGTGTGGATTTCTTTTTATTTACCTTACTTAGGATGTACTAGGATTCTTGTATCTGAGAATTCATCAATTCAGGGAATATGTCTGCTATTATTTGTTCAAATATCACTGTTCATTCATTTTCTTCTCCTTTTGGAACTTCTATTAGCTATAACGTTGAGTCTACTCATTCTTTCATATTCTTTTATCTTTTATATTGCTATATCTTTATCTTTCTATGCTGCAAAGATAGATAAAATATACTTTCCATTAATTCTATTTACCTATCTCTAATGTGCTGTTGAATTTATCCAATGAGCCCTTAATTTCAGTGACCATATATTTTCCATTTTTAGAAATTCTTGGGGGGAGGAGAGACCTTTTTTAAAAAATAGTGATTTGTTCTTTTATGGTTTTGTTTATTTTTATGGTCTTAATCATATTGAACGTACTTTATAGTTGGATGCAAGATACTTCAGTTTGCTTGCAGTTCTGGTTAATTAATAGTGACCCTATTCACTTTGGGTGACAAATTATACAGTTATTCTATTTATCATCGGATGATTCTATAGTCTGAAATTCTTGAGGGTCCAGAATTATCACTTGTTGAGTGTGACAGTTCTCATGGTGTTTTGCTTCCTTGTTTGTTTCACCATTTTGGACCCTGCCTCCATCCTGAGTGGGGCTTCCTCTGAGGGTCTCCCAAGCAGCCTGGGTCGAGGGGTTGCTCTCCAAAGCGGTCCCATTCTGATCAGCACAGGACTGCTTTGTATGTTAATTTATTGGCTTAGGGGTTCCAAGACACTGTAGACAGTATAAATTCAAGCCACAACTTTGAGTGAGGGCATGTCTGTGGGTACTAGAATTCTCCAGTGACTTTTTTTCCCCTGTCAGAGACAAATAAGACCTACCCTAGGGGATCAGGTAGTAATATGTGCTGTTAAGAAAATCCAAGTGGGGAGATGGGACAGAGTGATGGGGTAGGAGAGCTGCTGTTTTGTTGGGGTGGCAGGGAAGTCCCCCCAAGGAGACAGGATTTGAGCACAGCATGAATGAAGTGAGAAGGGAAGCCCTATGAGCCACCAGGATATCTGAGGACAGAGACTTTTAAGTATAGGGAAGAGTGTCACAAAGTGGTTCAGAAGTGGCTCGTTGTGGAAAGCAGGAAGCCAGTGTGGCCATGGAGGGGGAGAAGGATGACCGGGAGGGTTTAGCGAGGGGTAGATGCAGTATTCTGGTCTCAGGCCAGAAGGACCTGGTCTGGTCCAGCTAGACCCTGCGTGCTCTGTCCTTCCCTTGTTCTCACCCCTTGCTTCCCAGTGTCCTTGCTGTCCCCACCCATGGGCTCACCTGAAAGCTCAAGGTTCCAGATGGAAGAGGAGTCTCTCTGCAGGAAGTCTGAGATGATTCTGGCCCCTTCCAAACCAAGGCGATTGTTGGAAATATTCTAAAAAGCAAGAAAACACTTTTGCAAGTAAGAAGCTCATCTGGGGGCCCTCACTAACAAACGATGTTGGGGTGTGGTTGACTTGAGGCCTGTTGGGAAAATATGATTGAGGAATTAATGAGATATGGGTCATAAGACCGTTATTTTATTGTATAACCCAATATTATTATGTTAAAGACAGAAACAGGAGTTTGTAGGGTTTTGCCCTGAAGGAATGCATGGACTCAATGGTTCACTTATTAGAGGCTGTTATCATGGAAGAGCTCTCAAATCTCTGGTAGGGATGTTTACCAGGAAGGCTTCCCAGTATCTCAAAATCTGTGAGCTTCCCTGTGTCTTGAAAGACAAGGCAAGGCAAATATGGACCACAGGATGGGAGCCAGAGACAATGAGGGCAGTTTGCCCCAGAGAAGCACCCCGGTGGTTATAAACAACCTGTTTTATTAGAGATGGGCTTCCTGCTCTCTCCTGTCTGTCTACCTTTAAGTTCACCATAACTAATCAAATATATGAATCACTGTACCTCTTTTGTTTTACCTTTGTTAATTGACAACTACTTCTTAGAACTTAGAAACCAGCCCCTGAAAGACTTTGTACCTGTTCGTTCACATAGATAGCGTAGAAGCCCCTTGAGAGGCCTTTTGACCCTAACCCACTACCTATATCCCCTAGCAACTGCATTCCCTGATATGCAAATATGTTACCCTGACAACTGATAATTGATGTCTGTGATTATAAAAACCTATATAAATCTAACCATTTTGCTGGCGATTGTGGAGATCTGCCAGTCCCCTAGGAACTTCCTGCTGTGTTTTATCTGATTATATATATATATATATATATATATATATATACACACACACACACACATATATAAAACTATAAACTATATCTTAGTCTCTGTGTATTCTTTTATTTCTCTCTGTTGCCTATCAACTTCCTTCTCCTCTGTGGCGACCCCCATCTTAGGGACCTGGCTCCGTGAGGAGAAGTAGCTGATCTCCTCGAAGTGCCTGCCTCAAATAATACTCTTCCCCGTGGAGGCCTGTGCTGAGGAAGCAGGGCTGGGTGGGGACAGGGGCTGTGGCAAAAGGGTCAGAAGATTCAGGTCTGCAACGGACCAAAAAAAGGGAAGTAGGTTCCAGACCTGGCTTTTCTAATGCCTCGGGCTGGTCTCAGTTTTCTGAAGTTACTTCTCCAATCCAGCCCTGGTGCTCCAGACAAGCACATTATTTTGTTTGTTTTGAAACTTAAGACAATGTCATTTGGAGAGTCTGGCAGTGAAAAAATTGAAAAATGAGTTTAGACAAAATAATCATTGTAAATTTGTAAATTCCACTCATTGATTCAGGAAGTATGAATCGTCCAGTTAGGCTAGTGGGAGAGACTTTATATAAACCAGCCATTATTGTTTTAAGTGGTTTTGCCCCCTTTTCTTTCAATTTCTTTCTTTCTTTTCTTTCTTTTTTTTTTTTTTAAGACAGAGTCTCACTCTGTTGCCCAGGCTAGAGAGCCGTGGCGTCAGCCTAGTTCACAGCAACCTCAAACTCCTGGGCTCAAGCAATCCTTCTGCCTCAGTCTCCCAAGTAGCTGGGACTACAGGCATGCGCCACCATGCCCGGCTAATTTTTTCTATATATTTAGTTGGCCAATTAATTTCTTTGTATTTATAGTAGGGACAGGGTCTCACTCTTGCTCAGGCTGGTTTTGAACTCCTGACCTTGAACCATCCTCCCACCTCAGCCTCCCACAGTGCTAGGATTACAGGCGTGAGCCACCATGCCCAGCCTTCAATTTCTTTTTAAGGCGTTAAAATACACCTAACACAATTTACCGTCTTAGCCATTTTTAAATGTACAGTTCAACGGTATTAAATATATTCACATTGTACAGCCATCACCTCCAGCCATCTCCAGGCACATTGTATTTTTTTAAATTATTTCATATCTTCATTTTCTTTAAGAAAGGTCACTTTAAAGCAACTATTGGGAGGTAAACACATCAATTGAAGGGCTGATAAGATCCAGACAGAAATGGTTTCTTAGGGTTTCCCACAGACACAGGGAACACTGTCCCTCCCTCCCCCGCCCCGGCCAGCTTCTCATGTGTGGCCCTCTCGGAGAAGTCACGTCTAGAGGGCAGGTGTCCGCAGACTGGTGGCAGACAGTGTAGAGGTGGGCCGGGCCTGGGCAGGGCCTCTGGCTTGTTGGGGGTGGGAGTGCGGAGTGGTGGGAGCCAGTGGGGCGCAGTACCAGCTCCTGGAGGTAGTAGTTCTCTTGCAGCATCTCCAACAGGCTCAAGACGCCCTCTTCCGTGATGGAGTTGTCTTCCAGCTCCAGCTTGGTAACAGCCGTGTTGGACTTCAGCCGTCACAAGAGGAGAGGGAGAAAGACACGGAAGTGTCAGTGACAGAATCGGTTCCCTGCCTGCCCCGGTCCTGCCATGTGGGCGGGCACAGAGACTCTGGCTGGGATTTCTGAAGGGGAGGAGAGGGCCGGGAGGCGGCAAGCCACTTCACCGAGTTCTGCCAGGACAATGCACCTATTCTGTGAGAATTAAACTGCCCTTGAAACAACTAAAGACCTGAAAAGTAAGAGTCACAGATTTTAACTATTTAGCCTCAAGGAGAGAGGACTGTGACCTGCTCCAAGATTAAGGAAAACTTGATACATTCAGTAAGGGTGTTTAACCTAAAGATTCTTGCACGAAGGCCCTCTAAAACTGCGGTCCCCAACCCTCGGGCCGTGGACTGGTACTGGTCCGAGGCCTGTTAGGGACCTAGCTGCAGAGGTCCACAGCACCCCCTCACCCCGCCCTCCCCACCTCCTCTCCATCCTTCCCCCTCCATGGGAAAATTATCTTCCATGAAACCGGTCCCTGGTTTAGGCTTAAGACTTATCTGGTACTCTTATTTATTTATTATATTTTGAGATGAGGTCTCTCTAGGTTGCTCAGGCTGGTCTTGAATTCCTGGGCTCCAGTAATCTTTCTGCCTCAGCCTCCTGAGTAGCAGGGACTACAGGTGTGCACCACTGCACCTAGCTCTGGTACTTTCTTTTAATAGTAGGCAGCTTCAAGGCTGTTTGGAAGGAGCTGGATGTAAGTCTTTAATAAATATCCACATCCCAGCTAGTCTGCATTCCCCTTGGGAATACGAGCAGAGACAGGAAATGACTTGCATTGCAGCATGAAGGACTGGGGTTAGCTCTAACCAGAAATTTTATCTTTCCTTCCTCACTTTGTTCCCAGTACTAACAGGTACAGAGAACAGACATGTTTTTGGATTTGAGCATTTTTAAAGCTCACTAAGCAGCAAGAGAAGTAGCGAGTAGTAAGGAGATTTGTGCCTGCTTTTCTCTCCAAGAAAAAGGAAAATGTGATAGTTTAACTGCAATGCAGGGTGGTTCATCCAGGGGACTTCATGGAATGTCTTCTGGTCTCAGCTCTCTGGGGTGGGTGAGATTCAAAGGCAAGGGAGCTGGCTCAGGTAACTCCCCAGTCGAGGTGCCATTTGGCAGTGTCCAGAAACACAGGCAGAATTCCCACTTCCCCAGAGTCATACTGGGGACCGACACATTGCAGGGTGCAGCAGGACGCCTGGTCACCAAATCCATCCAGGTTCATTTCACACGGGCCAGTGTCTACTTGTCACTCTCTGTGCTGATGGCCAGGGAAACAAGGTTGAGCAGAGAACATCCCTACCCTTAAGGGACACCCCCACTCCCCTCCCCTAACCCCCCTCCCCAAGTGCAGGGGCATGATGCTAGGCAGCGAGGGACACACACAAGGACAAAATACGACCCCTACTACCAGGGACTTTTTAAAATCTAAGCCAGGGGAACACAAACATGTGAAAAGTTAAAGAGTACAAAAAGCAAATAAAAGTTCAGTCCTCCAGAATGCCACAATGATTAATTGTCAAATGAATGAATGGTACAGAGAATCAGGGAAGAAAAAACTCCCTCCAAACAGAAACTGCTGTGACTATGAAACAAGTGGCCCAAGTCCCGAGAAGATGTCATTATCATCCATTTTTCCCCATGAAGCTCATGAGGTAATGGTGCCTTCCTAACACTCCATCAATCAGCCTTCAACCCTCGACATGTTTCAAGATGGCTTTGTTCTTTCTATGCTCTTTCCTTCACCCTCCCATAGAACAGTACAATTTCACATTTCATGTAACGGCTTCATGGCCATATATGCTAAATGCAAATGCTATTATATTGTTAAAGAGGAATGAATGTGGAGGAGGCTTGGAGAAAAATAAGACCATGTATATATTCCACAAATACACCGTTCCATGCCAACTGGGGCTAGGCACTCAAAATGAATAGCGCACAATCTTATTCCTCTTACTGTATGGGGGAAATTGCATTGGAATGTACTATAATAAAAGTTGTATTAATGTGTGCTCTCTCTCTGCTCTGTTGTCTGGGCTAGAGTGCCGTGGCATTAGCCCAGTTCACAGCAACCTCAAACTCCTGGGGTCAAATGATCCTCCTGCCTCAGCCTCCCAAGTAGCTGGGACTACAGGCATGCACCACCACATCCAACTAATTTTTTCTATTTTCAGCAGAGATGGGGTCTTGCTCTTGCTCAGGCTTGTCTTGAACTCCTGACCTCAAGTGATCCTCCGGCCCCAGCCTCCCAGAGTGCTAGGATTACAGGTGTGAGCCACCATGCCTGGCCTGGCTAATTGTTGTGTATGTCAGGTAGCTGAAGCCTCGGAAAGCAAAACCCTGGATAAGGGAGGACTACCGTACATTCTAGCAATGAACAATGCCAGTGTGCTCCAATGGATTTTGGAGATTGCCATGTATTTTGTAACCGTATTGCCTTTGCCATTCACCATCCCCTCAGACTTGTGCATTGTCTCAGACTGAAGCCGGCTGAGTCTTCCCGAAGCTTGTCTTTGGCTGTCTCTGCCTTTTGTAGCTTCTCCCGCCTCTCAGCCACTCCTCCTGTGTTTAATTTGCTGACTGCTCCTATTCTTTCAGATCCTTTATAAATAACATGTTTTAAGAATCCGTTCTCAGTCTTGGTTTTCTCTGTTCATTTTTTCCATGGACAATTTAAGTATTGCTGATTTTTAAACATTGCCTCTAAAGAAACATCTACCTCTCCACGTTACTTAGCTTTTTTAAAATCGAGCTTTCTCTTTGCCTTCCTAAGTGAACAAACAATGTTGTGCTGACACACAGTTGTTCAGTTTTCTGTGTTTCTGTGATGGGAGTCATTTTTTGGTAAAATCAATTATAGTTATATAAAGCAATGATGAATTCAAGGTCACGTCCTTGTTCGGCCACGCCTAGAGGTAACCTATTCCTCCAGGAAAACTTGATCTGCCTTACAATGTGGTCACTGGCTGGGTAGTGGGCCCATTTATAGCAAAGGTGAGCTTTGGCATGGAGATGCAGGCTGGCATTTTATATTAATATTATGCTCTCGCACTAATGCTTGTGCCCAAGCCCAGCCTAGTCACTTTTCCTGGGCCCAGGGGCTGGTGCCTTTGCTTCCTGAATAGGAAAGAGCATAGGCTTCTAAAGCCCAGGCAGCCTCCTTCCAGGAGCCAAAGGGGAGTCCATGTCTGCTGGGGAAATCAACTGGCCACCAGGCACGGCCCAGGGCATGGTGGGCACACAGGTTGCTACTTAGGCTCCCTAGGAGGGGCCCTCTGGGTCTTGGGCCCGCCACCCTATCAGCCCCACTGGCATGCTCACCACCAGAGCGATGGCAATAGCCTTGGTACCCTTGGGGCCCAGGCCATGGTGGTTGAGGTTCATGTGAGGCTCCTCCATGTTCCGGATGAAATAGGAGACAGGCACCGTGCCCAACAGTTTGCAGGCTTCCAGGTATAGGTCCTTTTGTCCAGTGGTGAAAAATCTCTCAGTGTCTGCAGGGAAAGAGAGGGTGAAGTAGGATTTCTTTTCCACCTTTGCCTTATCTCCCCTCTAACTCCAGGCGACGTTCGCTTATGTCTGGACTCCCCTCCGCCAGAGAATCTGTCCCTGTGGGTGCGTGCACCAGAGGCCAACTCCAATCCAGGACGTCAGTCAATGGTAGGAGAGGGAGAGCCTGACTCCAGAAACCCCCAGAAGAACATCTGCTTCCGGGTAAGAGGCGAGGCTGGTGGTTTCAGGCCCTAAGCTCTCCTGGGAGCAGCGAGCCGTCTGCCATCACCCCCCTTCCCAGGTTGGCCACGTCCAACGACTGACCGTCTAGGATATGCACAGGCCCAGCCCCCTTGTCCACCCTGGGACGGCTCTGAAAGGCCAAAAACAGGTGTCAAAAAGCTGCTGGCTTTCGACGGGCAAGGGAGTCTCCATTTCGGTTTCGGTTTCGCTACCACTGTTAAACTGTGTGCACCATGAACAAAGCTTTGCCGAAGACAGAGAAATACCAACCATAAAAAGCCCAAGTAGGATGGAGTGGGCTTCTCAACACGGCAAACCAGCGGAGACGGACAGACCTCCAAACAGGTGGGAAACAAGCACCCTTGCATTTCAGGGGGCTTGGCTCTTTCAAAGACTTGCACGTCATTTTCCTCACAGAAAGGACTGTCATCCCTGCGTTACGTACAACAAATCTAGCCCAATTCGCACATGGCTGGTCAGTGCGCAAACCAGCCACCAGAAGTGGGGACTCCACCTCCCCAGTCCCACCCCTCGGGGGCCTTTATTCCTTAGGCTCTAGACCAGCCTGGCCGTGGTCAACAGGCACGGGGTCTCCCTGGATGCTGGGTACCCCACAGCTGTGTTCCTGTCAGGCAAGTCCAGCCTACGGCAGGGCTTCCTGGGGCCAGCTGGCATCTCTGTCCGCATCTGTTTTTCCTTTGGATCCCAGGGCCTTTGGCCAACCCACAGCAGACGTTTCTAAGGCCGACAATGGAAGCTTTGTTGGTGCAAGGACAGCAGCTTTTAAAGGGAAGCTGATTTTGCAAGCGCAGCTACAAACAGGCCTTCTCTTTGGGGCGGTTGTACCGCAGGGTTTCTCGACCTCAGCATTACTGACATTTTGAATCGGCTCATTCTCTGTTGTGAGGGGTTGTCCTATGTGTTGTAGGGTATTTAGGAGGATCCCTCGCCTGGCCCCACAAGATGCCAGGAGCAACCCCCTACTCCCTATTTTGCCAAATGTCTCCTGGGTGCAAATTGCCTCCTGGTGAAAACCACATTGTAGATTGTGCTGGGTGAGCAAAATCTGCTTCATCTCTCTCTGTTCTGTAGACCCACCACTGGCTTAGCACCCCCTGGCCCATTCCCCACACCCTCCCCGGGGCCCCCTCATACCATTCCCAGCACTTCAGCACCAGCCACAGGGGCGCTGGAGGCCAGAGCAGACAAGCCCTGGGTTTCTGTTCAGGACAGAGTTCTTGGTGCCAAAATCAGCCCTTAAAGGTTCCTGTTGGCCAAAGCAGGGAAGGTAACCCTGGTTTCGTCCTTGGAGCTGATTCTGCTCTGCTTGAGGCTGACCCTATCTAGCTGTGCTCGCTACGGTTATATTTTAGGGGTAGCTTGCAACAGTGTTGTCACTTGCTTGGGGGAGGAGGGGATGAGATTGGGACAGGGGCCTTGGGCAGACATCCGTGTTGTCCTTTGTCACCTCCTCCAACCAGGGGAAGTCAGGTGTCAGAAGCAATATTAGTGACAGCCTTGAAGTGGCTAAGAAGTCAGAAAAAAGCAACAGGACGCCCGGGTGCAGAGGGGAAGAGGTCTGTGTAGAAGGGCGAAGTTGTCAGTTGACCGCGGGGAGGTTTATGAGCTAAGTCTATGTAGATGAGCTCCACAGTTTAATTTGGCGGAATGGCCTCCCCTCCTTCTCTGCTGCCTGTGAATCATTGCCCCCCCCACCCACCCAGCTGCAAGGACGCAGAAGAGGCAGGGTGACTGGGCTAGCCTCGGCGTAGGATGTTTGAGGCTGGCCCCAACACGTGGGACCAGTGTCCGTTGCTTCACAAATGTTCCTTTGGGCACATTTCTCCTTGGGGAAATTGGGAGGAAAGAGAAGGTGGAGAGGTTGTTTGCATGAACAGAGTCTTTGCTCCTGCTCAGCCGGCCTGGCACCCGGGCATGCTCAGATTTGTCAAGGGAGAACATGGGGCTGTCCAGTAGGGGAAACATGAACTCTAATGAGTGGGAAAGCCACCAGGATGCAAGATGGGCCACAGAGTGCTGTGGAGTGTGAGGGCAACCACTGGGCTGAGTCGAGACAACACCGGGTTGGCCAGCTCCTGGAGGCCTCAGACAACTCATACAGTCTCTTTAAGCCTCAGTTTCTTCTGCTGTTAAAAACACGCAATAATGTCTACCTCCTAGGACTACTGCGAAGATCGCATAGGATGCCACCCATGGAAACACTTAGAAGACCAGAAAGCCCCGTCCTTGCGCCATGCGCAGCCGCTGGAGGGCACTGCTCCCGGGGCAGGTGTGAGCCAGGGCGCTGCGGCTGGTGCCTCCAGCCAGCCTTGAGGAGGACGTGGGGCGAAGGGGCGTGGGGCGAAGAACCGAGCACAGGCCTTCCTGCCACGGCCCCTCTGCAGGACATCCCGCTAGGCAGAGCCCTGGCTGACTCTGAAAAGGAGCGAGATGCCGGCTCCTGAAAACTGGATTTCTCCAGCGTCTGAGGAAGCCCCGAGACAGCCACCCCCGCCACCCCAAAGGCCCGCTCTCACCTTCAATCTCTAGGTCAGTTTCTGAGCTCTCCCGGGGCGGTTTCTCTTTCTCCACAGTCGGCAGGGTTTCGGCCTCACAGTAGAGGGTTTCATCGCTGCTGTGCGGTGCTGGCACGCTTTCAGTCTCATCTGGAAGAAAAACTCATCTCCTTGATCCTGGTGTCAAGCTTTGCCATGGAGCCTTACTGCACCGGCCCTCCCTTCCGCACTCCTCGCCCATGGGGTCTCACGAGCACACTCTGCCGTGCTCCCTGCCCAGCTCCCTGTTTGGGGCCTGCTCATGCTTTTCCCTTCTTAGTTGCTCAGGTGGGCTTCAGGCTCTGTGGTTACTCTTTCAGGTGAAAGGGTGGGTTCCGCCGCCCGGCTTCCTCATTGTCAGGCACAAATGGTGCCGGGGCAGGGCAGGTGGCAACTTGGGTCAAATGGAAAATAAAACAGACTAGGAGCAGTTCCAGGGAGCAAGAGAGAGAGCTTGATGCCTAAGAACTTGACCTAACTTCTCTGCCTTCCAATCCAACATTGGTTTTATGACCAGAGAGAAGGAGGAGATTGAAAATCTCCCTTGGGTTGAAATCAATGGCTGTGATTGAATACATGTGTCTCAGTTGGATGAGACACTGGCAGGAGCAGAGCTTCCTGCACCTCTGTCCCCTGCACTCGCTAGATGTGGTTGTTCCACTACTGGGCCACTGATCTGACACCAGCCATGGGCTCCCGAGGGTCACACAGGAGGTCTAGAGCTCAGTCCTTCAGTGTCATTGGGACTCAGTGGATTGGGGAGGCCATACTGTGCCTCTGAGTGGCTGGTCAGAACTCAACCAGCCCACTCTTTGGATGGACTGAGCATTTGTGGCAGGGGGTCCCCAGTTTTGACCACCCAGATTCTAGGATGGTGGAGTTTCTAATGAATCTACACAGGTCTCTGTCTCTCTTTGTCTTTGTCCATAGACCTAGGCCCCAACATTTATTTCCCAGCCTATAACACAAAGTCTGTGATGCAAGTAGAAGATGACATATAGCAGCTTAGCGGCCAAACTGCTGAGTGCCCTCAGAAAAGTGATGAACTTCTGAGTCTTAATTTCCTTATCAGACAAACAATTTTAGAATTCCACTCAACCAGTGGGATTCGGGCAAATATTTAACTGTCACCCCAGGAAACAACAACAACAACAAAACACCAAAAACACCCTGATTTATAGTTTAGCCAATTCATGTGGTATAAATATTCCCATGGCTGATTTCAAACTAGCAAAGTGACATCAACCAAACCCATAAAATAAAAATGAGAGCTGGATAGAGCCAGTATGAGCCAGTTCCAGCACGACACTGCCTCCAACTCTCAGTGTTTGCCAAGCCCTCAGTGTTTGCCAAGTCAATGGAACACATCATCCCAATTCTAGAGGGCCCCAGGCGGGGGGATCAGTGGGCTTCACGGCTCCTGTGGTCGCTGGGGGTTACACTGAGGCAGCTGGGAAGGGCCTGTGTGGTGAGAGATGAGATGCCTTTTCACCTTCTGTCTCAGGCTCAAGCTCATCATAGTCCATGGTGCCAGGACCCTCTTGAGGGCTGCTGCCAGCTTCTTGCCACCTTTCAGCTGTGTCCCTAAGAAACACACCTGTCCATTCACCTCTGTCTCAAACTCTGTGTCTATCTCTGCCCTCGCACAGGCAAATCCCAGGGGAGTCTGCAGTTACCCTTCTATTTCAGCAAGCCCCGGGAAGACTGGGCTTTGGTGGGAATTGGACATGCATGGATTTGACCCCCACCCTGTCTGGGAGAGGGAGCTACTTCCTGGGCTTATCAGGGACAGTGGGACAGCTCTGTTTTTGGGAGCCCCGTGGAAAGGATGCCCACCCACCTGTGACTTTGTGACTTAGGAGCCACTTTCATTTCATCTTCAACATTCCATGACCTCATGCAGTTATTGTGATCCACGTAGGGGGACCTGGCAACAGCAGGCCTCCCGCCCTCTTGGTGACTCTGGCAGTCACCTGTACTCATATGTCCACTGGGGCCAAGCCCAGGCTTGGCTGTGAGTGCTCAGGTGCTGTGGGGGGGCCTCTCAGTGGTGCTGCATTTCCCTCTGAGTCAGGACCAAACCCAAGCTCCTTCATCAGGTGACTGTGAAGAGCTGCCACCATGGTCTTCTCTCAAGGTGGCTGTGCTTCTGGTACGAAGTATGTCAGCGATGGGTGAACTCAGTTTTCATCTACCCAGTTCTTCCTTTTTTCTTTCCCCCCTGGGAGAGTATCCTCAACCTTGGAGCAGAAGATCAAAAGCAAAGCAGGACAGCATATGTTCTATCACTACAGTTTGTCGCAGCCAAAGCGCTGTTCAATCCAAACTACCGGGCTGCCTACCTTGAAACCACTCAAGCAGCATTCCCGCGCCTGGCCATTTCCACATGTCTCGGAGCTGAAGTTCGGTTGCAGTTTGCAGTCAAGAGAGTCTGGAGGCGTGTTTGCTCCTTCTTGATCAGCTTTCAGCACATCATCAGTTAGGTCAGTGACTAGAGGGCTTGGGATGTGAAAATGCCTTTTTTGCCAATCAAAAGAATGAGTAAGATCTAGAAATTTGTGTAGGGAAAACATGGTTAGAATCGTGGATGAAAAGAAATATGTACACCTGAGATGGGACTCATTCCTTCAGGCATTCTTCATCCTGAGAAATACTTATTGAGCGTCTACTGCATACATGGCACGAAGAACATCACGATTGTGGGGAGGGAACCCAGACGTGATTGAGACGGGGCCCTTTCACAGCATGTGTAATACAAGGCGGAAACTGACAAGACCACCCTAGGGTGAGGGTCCTGGGCAAATATTTTCGGCAGAGTTCCTGTTCATATAAACAATTTGAGTCAGTCACTCTAAATCAGTGTGGCAACACCATTCTGGTGGAGCAATCTCATGTGGTCCCTCAAAAGAAATACCAGACAGGTCACAGGGAGTGATCACTCCTAGGATGCTCAGGTAGACATGAGTCCTGGAGTTCCTTGGAGCGTTTGGTCAGCCCCATGCTGGTGTGGAGGATAAGAAAGCATTACTAAAGGGCAGAAAGAGGGAGTATGTGCCCCCTGGTCTAGGCTCTGAGTGCTCTGCTTGGACAGAACCATCTGGTTTCAGGTACTGAAGAGTGAGTTAGAAAATCTGGAGGAAGGTACACCAAATAGCCCCTGGACAGAGGCATCCTTAGCCTGGGTCTAAGAGCAGCACTGGGAATAGAGAAGGGTTGTAAGGGAAATGCTCTGGGAGTTCATGGGAGAGTGAGGTTTCTTCACTCTGGGGAACTCCAGTGGGCTCTGGACAAGCAGAGGCTGGGGAAAAGGCATTCCTGGGAGTGTAGGATGAAGGCAGGCAGCACAGCTTAAGGTGGCAATGCAGAATGTCAAGGGGAGTAGGGAAAGGGGAGGCCTCGAGAGCCACAGCAACTTCAGAATAGATTCAAATACAATTAAAAGGCAATAGAAGACTGTAGATTTCTGAACAGGACAGTGACATCGTCACAGATTTTCTTTAGCATGGTGGACAGCAATATTTTTGAATAAGAGTCGATTCTGGGCCAGGCGTAGTAGCTCACGCCTGTAATCCTAGCACAGGAGGATTGCTTGCGCTCAGGAGTTTGAGACCAGCCTGAGCAAGAGCAAGACCCCATCTCTACTAAAAATAGAAAAATTATCTGGCCTTGGTGTCACATACCTGTAGTCCCAGCTACTCAGGAGGCTGAGGCAGGAGGATTGCTGGAGCCCAGGAGTTTGAGGTTGCTGTGAGCTAGGCTGACGCCATGGCACTCTACTCAGGGCATAGAGTAAGACTCGTCTCAAAAAAAGAAAAAAAAGAGTCAATTCTGGAAAAATTAAAATGTTTAAGAAATATAATTTTAAAAATTTGCATCTTTTAAAAAATCATGAAATGTAATACTTGCATCTTTTTATATATTATTATTTAAAAAATATTTTGTATTACTTAAAGGTATCTTTTCTAAAATTAATCTTTTTATTTTTAAGTAATTTTAGATTATAGAAGTTACAAATATCATAGTTTCCATATACTCTTCCCCAACTTCCCCTTATCTTAACATCTTATATAACCATAGAGAAACGATCAAAACCAAGAAATTAATATCAGCATGATGCTATTAACTAAACTACACACTGTCTTTGTATTTTACCAGTTTTTTCCACTAACGTCCTTTTTTGGTGCCAGACTCCCATGATGCATTGTGTGTTGTGGCTCTGTTGGTCTCCTTCAATCTGTAATCTTTGTCTTTTATGACTTGACACTTCTAGAGTACTTGTCCAATATTTAGTAGAATGTTCCTTAGTTTTAGTCTGTCTGATGTTTTTTTTTTTTTTGAGACAGAGTCTCGCTTTGTTGCTCAGGCTAGAGTGAGTGCCATGGCGTCAGCCTCGCTCACAGCAACCTCAAACTCCTGGGCTCGAGTGATCCTCCTGCCTCAGCCTCCCGAGTAGCTGGGACTACAGGCATGCGCCACCATGCCTGGCTAATTTTTTCTATATATGTTAGTTGGCCAATTAATTTCTTTCCATTTATAGTAGAGACGGGGTCTCGCTCTTGCTCAGGCTGGTTTCGAACTCCTGAACTCGAGCAATCCGCACGCCTTGGCCTCCTAGAGAGCTAGGACTACAGGCGTGAAGCACCGCGCCCGGGCTGTCTGATGTTTTGCCATCACTGTTGGGAAGGGTGCCCCAGAGTTCATGTGCACTTGTCAGTGTGTCAGGGTGCATTATGTATTACATGAGTCACTTGGTCAAGGTGGTGTCTGCCAGCTTTTTCTACTGTAAAGTTACTGTTTTTATCTTTGTAATTAATACAGATGGGGGGGAGATACTTTAAGACTGAAAATATTCAATTTACGCTTAAACTTTTGCCCATTAATTTTAGCATCCATGAGTGGATCACGCCTCAAGAATGATTACTGTAGCATTCACATGGTGATTTTCTATATCTGCAATCCTTCTACATTTATTAATTGGAATTATTCGGTAAGAGAGAGTTGTCCCTCTCCCTCATTTATTTATTCAGTGTTCACAGCAATAGGGACTCAGAGATGTTTATTTTATTCTTTGCATTACAATGCAATACTGTCATTTATTTTGCTGTTCAAGTTCCAACTTTGGCTATTGGGAGTTCATTCAGGTTGGCTCCTGTGCTCTTTTGACAGGCTCCTGCCCTCCTTTTCTGAGCCCTTCCTTACTTTCTGGCACCATAGGAATTAATTACTTTTCCAAGGAGAATAATATTTTGAAACCTAGATCTGGGAGCTGGTGTGCTCATTACCATTGGGTTGATGGAGCTTCTGGTCTCTTTTGGTGAATAGAGCTAGGAAATATATGTGTTTGTGTATACTGTTAATAACCCATCCATAACACATATATTGATTTTTATTTAATATATCCATCTTCTGTATGTATTAAATAAAAACCAAAAGTCTATACTGACACTGCCGTCTCTAATCTAGCACCACAGGGCTCACTCATGCCTTCTCTTTTTCATATTTGTCATTTCTGTCTCCTGGCAAGAAACCCAGTTCTCATTTTCTACAATATATCTACTTATTTGTCCATCTCTAGTATCTATATAGTTTCAGAACTGTTAAACCATATCCCTAGAAACAAATTTCCCAACTAGTGTACTATGTTTTGTTAGTCCGTAGGGTTTTCGTTGTTGTTATTGTCTATCCATATGGCATCCAGTTAAAATACTTTTCCCCCAAAGTTATTCAAGTCAACTCTTTCTTCCCATCCTCTTTGGTGTGGTTATTTAATTCATTTGTAATCCAGTTAGATTCATTTCTCAAGATCTGCATTTCACGTTTCCCCCATATCCTGCTTGATTTTATTATAATTTGCATATTGTAAACTTCTCTCTTTGTCCTGAGAGTTCTATAGGTTTTGAGAAATGCATAAAGTCAGGTATCCACCACCTTAGCTCCAGCACCCTAAAAACTACCTCTTCTCCTTTATGGTTATCCTTACCCCCTTCCCTGGCCCCTGACAACCACTGTTTTGTTTTCTTTTTTCTTTCTTTTTTTTGAGACAGAGTCTCACTTTGTTGCCCAGGCTAGAGTGAATGCCGTGGCATCAGCCTAGCTCACAGCAACCTCAAACTCCTGGGCTCAAGCGATCCTACTGACTCAGCCTCCTGAGTAGCTGGGACTACAGGCATGCGCCACCATGCCTGGCTAATTTTTTCTATATATATTAGTTGGCCAATTAATTTCTTTCTATTTATAGTAGAGACGGGGTCTCACTCTTGCTCAGGCTGGTTTCGAACTCCTGACCTCGAGCAATCCACCCGCCTCGGCCTCCCAGAGAGCTAGGATTACAGGTGTGAGCCACAGCACCCAGCCTTACTGTTCTGTTTTCTATCCTAACAGTTTCACTTTTTCTAGATCAGATAAAGGAAAACATACAACGTGTGGTTTTTTGAGTCTAGCTTCTTTCACTTAATAAAATGCATTGAAGATCCACCCATGTTGTCAAATGATGCAACAGTTTGTTCCTTTCTATTGCAGGGTAATATTCTGTTACATGGATGTACCACACTTTGTTTATTCATTCACCTGCTGAAAGACACCTTCATATTTTCCCTTTATTTTGGTGATTATGAATAAAGTAGCTATAAACATTCATGTCCAGGTGTTTTTGAGAACATAAGCTTTCATCTCTCTTGAGTAAATACCTAGGAATGGGATTGCTGGATCATGTGATAAGTAAATGTTCAACCTTGTTAGGAACTGCCAAGTGGTTTTCCAAAGTCTATGCACCATTTTGAATTCCCACCAGGAATGTGTGAGAGCATCAGTTACTCCACATTTTTGCCAACATTTGCTATCGCCAATTTTTGCTTTTGTTCTGCCATTCTAATAAATGTGTAATGGTATTCCCTGTGGTTTTAATCTGCATTTCCCTAATAACTAATGATGTTGAGCATCTTTTCATATACTTATTTGCCATTCATAGATCTTTTTTGTCGTTTGTTCAGATTTTTTGCCCATTTTAAATTGAGTTGTTTATTTTCTTACTGCTGAGTTTTGAGAGTTCTTGATATATTCTGGATACATAAGTCTTTTGTCAGAAATGTGATTTTCAAATATTTTCTCTCAGTCTGTGTCTTGTCTTCTCATTCTCTTAACAGTGTATTTCACAGAGTAAAAGTTTTAATAAAGTCAGATTTTTGTCAAAATTATCAAGAAATTATCAATTTTTTTTCATGGATCACATTTTTGGTATCATATGTAAAAGTCTTTGCCTAACCCAAGGTCATGCAGATTTTCTCCTATGTTTTATTCTAGAAGTTTTATAGTTTTAGCTTTTACATGTCTACGATCCATTTACACATTTTAAAAATTGTGGTAAGATATATATAAGATAAAACCATTTTAAGGCCGGCTGCGGTGACTCACGCCTATAATCCTAGCACTCTGGGAGGCTGAGGAGGGAGGATCCCTTGAGGTCAGGAGTTCAAGACCAGCCTGAGCAAGAGCGAGACCCCATCTCTACTAAAAATAGAAAGAAATTAGGCAGACAACTAAAAATATATAGAAAAAATTAACTGGACATGGTGGCACATGCCTGTAGTCCCAGCTACTTGGGAGGCTGAGGCAGAAGGACTGCTTGAGCCCAGGAGTTTGAGGTTGCTGTGAGCTAGGCTGACACCATGGGACTCTAGCTCAGGCTGTCTAAAAAAACAAAAAACAAAAAACAAAAACCCCACAAAACTTACCATTTTAACACTTCTAAGTGTACAATTCAGTTGCATTAAGTATATTCACAATGTAGTGGAACCATCTCCACTGTCTATTTCCAGAACCTTTTCTATGACCCACTTTGAGTTAATTTTTATGTAAGGTATGGGGTGGAGGATGAGATTAATTTGTCTTGCATGTGGACTGGACATTCAATTATTTCAGCACCGCTTGTTGAAAAGATTTTTCTTTCTCCATTTAATTGTCTTTTCACCATTGTCAAAAATTAGTTGCATTTGTGTCCTTTTGGTTTTGTTGTAGGGCTAGCGTTTCAGAAAGATATAACCAGAATATCTTGTACCATTTTTTTTTTTTTTTTTTTGAGATAGAGTCTTGCTCTGTTGCCCTGGGTAGAGTGCAGTGGCATCAACCTAGCTCATGGCAACCTCAAACTCCTGGGCTCAAGTGATCTTCCTGCCTCAGTTTCCCAAGTAGCTGGGACTACAGGTATCCGCCATAATGCCCGGCTAAGTTTTCTATTTTTAGTAGAGACGTGGTCTCTCTCTTGCTCAGGCTGGTCTAGAACTCTTAAGCTCAAGCCGTCCTCGGGCCTCGGCCTCCCAGAGTGCTAGGATTACAGGTGTGAGCCACTGCGCCTGGCTGCTTTGTACCATTTGATTAAACTGTTGTGCTTTTACATTACTAGTTTGTGAGATAAATCCCCATGGTGCTGGGAAGTGGGGCTGAGGCACTTAGGGAGTGGGAGGTGAACTGACTCTACAGTTAGTCCACAGAGTAGGGGCAAAAGAGATAGTCCCGGGGGATGGGGGGAGCTGTGATTTTGACTTGAAACCTGGCAAAGACAATGTCACCTGGGGCAAGGTATGGATGTCAAATATTAAGGGAATGATAATTTCCTTTTTTATCACCAATATTCTTGCTGTGACAGTTCCACTAGTGGGAATCAAGGTAGAGGGACCCTTTAATATCCTCTAAGTCTGTGGTCCCCAACCCCTGGGCCGTGTACCAGTACCGGTCCGTGGCCTGTCAGGGACCAGGCCGCAGAGCTCCGCTGCCACCCCTCACCCCTGTCCGTTGAAAATTGTCTTCCATGAAACTTAAGAAGGGGGGGCACACAGTGGGAGGTTGAGTGGGTGAGCCAGTGAAGCTTCATCTGTATTTACAGCTTCTTCCCTCCCCATCCCTCGTATCACCGCCTGAGCTCTGCCTACTCCCCTCCCCATCTATGGAAAATTGTTTTCCATGAAACTGGTCCCTGGTGACAAAAAGGTTGGGGACCACGGCTCTAAGGTACCATTTAAATAGCAGTTATAAATGCCAGGCACTGTTCTATGGACTTTACATGTATTAAAAAAATGTTGTGGGGAAGGAGTCAGTGAAGAAAAGGAGAAGGGCAAGTAGAAGGAGCTTCATCTCCAGGAGGGAGGAAGGAGGGCATCCTGAGCACAGCGGAGGGTCAGCTGCTGTGTCGGGAGGGAAGGAGGAACAGCTGGCTGTGGATGCTGGTCATTACATTGTTATGGCAACAGGGGGTAGAGAACTTACCTGGTTCTATCTCCTCTCTGAAGTTGATGGGGAGCTGATCTCCTGAGAGCAAGAGAGGAGGAACAGGTCAGCAAGCCTGGGAAGAGCAGTCCCTGTGGGAATGGGAAAGAAAGCTGATTAAAAAGCATGGGATTGCTAGGGAGGGCCGAGGGCAGAAGTGAGGGTGGAGACCAGCACACTAATGGCCCCAGTCTGTGTGGCTGGTAATCTTACTCATTGGCGCTCAGCAGCCCAGACCTAAGAGCCAAGAAGAACAGTTTTACTGACCTAGGCAGATATAATCCAAGAACAATGGGCAGGAGCGTTGATGATATCAGGGAGAGAGTGATTTAAAAGATGGGTCATGGGGATTCCATGTCAGAGAGAGAAATGATGACGGACGGGAAGCTTGAGAAGGACATAATAGAGAAGTTGAGGGTTTCCTAGAATTAACAGATGAAGCAGAAGCTAATATGGGAGAGGCAGAAAGCCATGAGGTCACACATCAGAGTGGGTGTGTGAGTTTGCCATTTCAGAGATGGAGCAGTACCCAGTAGTGACACATGCAAGGTGCAGCCAGGGCAGGGAGTACCTGAAGTACAGCAGGAAAGAAGGTCATGGAGGAGGTCATGGCCTTGAGCTTCCAGGAGTTAGGATGGCTCATTCACATTGGTGATGGGAAGACTTGAGAGAGGGAAGATTGTGAGTCCAGGGCCAAAGTCTTCAAGGGATGAGGAATGGGCAGGAGGGCAAGAAAAGACAAGGATGAGGCTGGGGTAAACACTGATGAGTGCCTGATAAATCTCTAATGAATACATGAATGTATGAATCGGTGAATAAGTGAGCAAATGAATGCATCAACTCAGACTAAACTGGCACACTCTGGGAATATCTAGCCATAAATCCTGAGATCTGAAAATAAACACTAGGCTCAAAGAAGCCAAGTTACTAGGAGTGTAAGGGCCTCAGGTTATTGTAAGAGTTGAAAATGAGCAATTCTTTTCAGTCTATACTACCCGAGAGGCTGTTTGTGCCCTGCAGACCTGCACAGGTTCAATATGGTAGCCACTAGCTCTTTGTAGCTATTCAGCACTTGAAATATGGCTAGTCCAAATGGGGAGACAATGTCCAAGTAAAACACACACTGGGTTGTGAAGATTTACGACAAAAAAATATAAAATATATAATTTAAAAATATTGATTACATATTAAAATACTAAATTTTTGGATCTATAAAATTAAATAAAATATTACAATTAATTTCACCTGCTTTATTTATTTATTTATTTTTATATAAGGCTACTAGAAAATTTTAAATTACATGTGTAGTTTACATTACATTTATTTTGGGCAGCACTGCTCCATGTCACCCCAAATATTGCACCTGTTTGACTAATAATTTATTTAATAAAGGCAGCCAACCTGTTTGACTTCCATGTATACCTGTTGTTATAAGTAAAATTTGAGCCCTCAGGGTTTAGATTTCCTGTACACAGGAAATACCCCTTTAAAAGAACATTTTAGATCCCTCAAAGTATTGCAACACCGCCTACTTGCCCCATTAAATAGATTTTGCACCCTGGAGCCCACACTGATGATGAATGCAGGTGCTCATCATTGCCTTCATGGCTATTACAGTTGGGAGGAATTGAGGCACTCATCACATCTCTCTTGGAATATTCCTGACATGATGAGGCTGGAGCCAGTGCAGATTGGATTTGTAATTTTCCTTTTCCTGGGGAAGCCTGAGGCTGCACTTTGCCAGGCCAAGTCTCCTTGGGATCTGCAGTTATTGGCTTGCTTAGCAATGCCACATTACAGTTTGGAGAGCAGGAGCCTTAGTGGAAGAAGGCCCTCCATTAACAGTGGCCAGAGCTGTTTTTTGCACAAGTTCAAAGCATATACCAGTAAACACTGAAAGCTCACCCTGTATTAGGCATGGTGAGGAAACTGAGGCCCCAAGAAGTTAGGCAACCTGAGAGTTTCCACACGTGGGAAGTGGCAAAGCCAGGATCTAAACTCAGGGCGTTTAATTCCAAAGTTTGTGATTCCCAAGTCACCCTACACTTTCCAGCATAGTTGATTATGGATCAGGAAACAAAAAGAGGGAAGCCTTGCTTAAATGGCCTCAGGAAAAGGCTCTAAAAGAACATGGACCAGTTGCCCTGACACATTGTGTCCACACATGTGCATTGAATAGTCTGGTTGGGGCTAGATCCTTTAACAGAGGTTCCCAAACTATACATCCGAATAACTTGGTGAATGTTTAAGAGCCTCATCCCTGACCTGTTAAATCAGAACTCTGGGAGTAGGGCCTAGAAATTGGTATTTTAAAAAACATATTCCAAGTAGATAAGGGAAACATTACTTTGCAAAATGATAAACAAACTCTCTAGGCAAGTACCTTGATTTAGTATCTGACTCGGAACTTGGACTTCTGGGTAACTATTGGTACAAAATGGAAGGCAGGTGCAAGGAGGGTTTACTTGTAAAGGAGTGAGCCTGAACTTGGGGGCTCCTTAGGTAGATCTTATATTTGTGCACTACTTTTTGAGCAGCTCCCTAACCTTCAGATTGCTATGGCCTCTGTTTCATCTCAGGCAAACGGATGAGTGCTGTTGCCTGAAGCCAGGCATTGCCGCCTCTCCCACTAAGGGTACATAGTGGGAAGGACACAATACTGACTCTCTCCTTCTTCCTTCTTTCAGCTTTTCAGTGTTATGATGTACTCAGCTGGTCCAGGATCTGGTGACTCCCCAGAGGGCTTCACTGAACAACCAAGGCTCCAGCCACAAATTGGAAATCACACAGCTCAGACACTAGGTACTGGGTGTATTATACAGTACTTCCTTCTTCAGAGCAGGGTTGGGACAGAAGACTGAGGGCTGCGGGGTTGGGGAAGAGAAACTCGAAGAAGTCCTGGGTGGTACAGAAGTGATGGAAGAACTGGCCTTCATTTAGTGACATCTGCTTGGTTCAACCAGTCAATCAAGGTTTGTTTGGTCCCTGCTGTGTGCCTGCACCGTATTAGGCGCTGGGGAGATGCCTCGAGGAAAACACACCACCAGCCAGACTTGGTCCCTGGCCTGTGGAGGTGTTTTTCTTGACTCTCTTACCAATGGGACACCTCCTTTTTTCCGGATTAGGGAAAAGAAGGTCCATTTGGAACAGGTGGGGAAGGAGACAAAATCTTAGGTGCTGAAGCACGGGAAGATGCTATTTGTGACCTAGAATCTGAGCTGGGGAAGGCAGTAGAGGCAGGAAAAGGGGGAAGAACTCGCTCCCTCTCCTCTGGGCTGAGAAGGAGTAGATTATAGAAATCAGGGCTAAGTGGAGTCTTAAAGTCCAGCCCTTCATTTCACAGATGAGGAAACTGAGGCGGGGAGAGGCTAGATGGTGATCCCAAGGTGGACACCTAATTAGTAGCAGAAGTGGGAATAAACTGTGAACTTTGAGTAATACTGTGGAGCCTCCAGCGAGGCACTAAATTTTAAAACCCGGCGCTTCGATGGCGAACTGGAGCCAGGCCCCGCCCGTTGCCTTGGGAACCGCCGCCTCCCGCCCCCTGCGAGCTCCCCCGCGGCTCTGCGCTCCCAATAAAGTTGTTGTTGAAGGGCGCGCGGTGGCGCCACGTGGGTCGGCCGGGGGCGGGGCCGAGCTGTGGGGGACCCTGCGGGCGGCCGCCTGGAGGGGCTGCGGGTGGCGGGCGCCGGCCATGATCGCGTCGTGCCTGTGTTACCTGCTGCTGCCGGCCGCGCGCCTCTTCCGCGCCCTCTCAGGTACCGGCCCCGCGTCTCGACAAGCAGCAGCCCGGGCCGGGCCACCTCTGCGGGGCTCCGCGGGCCGAGGCAGCGTGCGGTGCGCCGGGCCTCGGGCCGTCCCCGGGGCAGTGCCAAGGTGTGGGGAGGCGGTCCTTGGCCTCTGGCCCGCGGGGCCCCACCTGACCGCAGGAGGCCTGGGCCTGGCCTACGACCCTCGTGGGCGGCTCCCTCGTCACACCTGTAGTCCGGTGACGTCGGGCCACGGTTAATGTGGAGGGGGGCTGCGGATGGGGCAGGGCCACCCTTCCCTGGCCCTGGGGGTGCAGTGAGGTTCTGGGGCCGGCTGAGTCGCTGCCCTGGGGGGTCGGGGAGGGATGGCAACTCCGGGTCAAGGCGAGTGCCTGAATTCTCTGCGGGTAGAGGTGGGTCGGCCCTGGGAGGGCTGAGGGCTGAAGTCCCGGGCGGGCGTACCTGTCTTTCCCTGGTTAACTTCACAACTCGCCCGTCAGCTCTCGCTCCTCTCTCACCAGTGTCTTTGGTTGAAAAACAGATGCTCAGAAGTCAGAGACATTTAAATCTCAGCTTAGAAGCTTTCTTCCTGTGCGTTGAGGGGTGGGGGGAGGAAGGTAGGGAAGGAGGGAGGCATAGTGGAGTAGGGACAATGGCCAGTTGATACCTTAAATAGAGGAGGGAAGTTTATTCCTTTACTTTTTTAATAGTCTGCACCACCCTGTATTCCTGGTTTTAGAAATTCCAGAGGCTTTTATGCGACTGTGAGTTTCCCTCTGAGATCCCACAGAACACCCTTTCTCCTGCAATTTAGGGGACAGGACCAAGAAGTACTTTCTTAGAAATAAGGGTTCCAACTGTGTATTCTGTGCTTTTTCTTTCTGGAACTTTATATAATGTGTGTGTGTAACTGATAATATATTCCATATAAAAGTATTTTAAATATATTTTTTGCTGTGTTTCTGCCACTAGAACGCAAATTTCAGGAGGCCAGGGTCATATCTGTTTTGTTCACTGTATCTCTAGTGCTAACACACTGCTGGTGTCTAGTAGATACTGAATGAATTCAGGAATGTCTTGTGTGTCTATACTTCTGAGGAATGGGACACTCCACAGAAGTAATTGTTTCCTGAGAACTAAGCATATTCCTTTAACTAGGTTGCTATCATTTCTGGAGCTCTTCCATTGTCCATAATGATACAGTGAACTAGTCCAGAGGTTTCTAGACCAGTAATTTCTAGGGATCTCAGAGGAGGCACCCTCCCCACCCACACATTAAAGTAGTACCATTTATGTTTAATTTGTGTATTTGGTTTCTAGATAAGTTTTTATTTTTTTTAAATAAAAGCATTCTGCTGAAAAACAAACCACCACCACCACCAAAAAACTGCCATATTTGGAAGCCACTAGTACCTTATGCATATAAACCATAGAACCTCTGTTAGCTCGTATACATAGAGGATGTTTCAAGGGGCAGATAATTAGCAGGGCCATGAGAGTAAAGGCCAGCCACCCAGCCTATGGGTTTAGAGCAGGGTTTCTCAGTCTCAGCAGTGTTAACATTTTGGGCCAGATCATTTGTTGTGGGTCTGTCCATTGCATTGTAGGATATTCAGCAGCATCCCTGTCCTCCACTAGATGCCAGCAGCACTGCTACAGTTGTGGCAACCACAGTGTCTCTGGACATTGCTCAATGTCCCCTGAGGGCAAAATCACCCCTGTTGAAAACCACTTGTTTAGAGAACATAAATATACATAGGCCATAAACAATATATTTGAACCATCTTTCTATATTTGAGCCATTTATGTTTAGAGAACATAAATATACATAGGCCATAAACAATATATTTGAACCATCTTTCTATATTTGAGCCATTTTCTTGCCTTTAAAAAAATTGCCAATAAAATGAATCTCTAAGTGATTGAGGGTCAGCATCATGAATGTCACTTGTCCTGTACTGTAGATAAATAATTTAGTGTGTGTGGGTTGTTTGCTTTTACCAAAATACTGTATTTAGATTTTGGGGGTTCTAGTTTTAGAGTTTTTCCCACCTGCTTTCTTACCTGTTGGCTGTCATTTGTGGCTGCTGTAGCAGAGAGAATGACAGCTGTCTCTTACTGTCAGTTGTTGGCATCTTCTAATTTACAGCCTCTGATGTGTTGTGGAATGGAAAACCAGATAATGAAGTTTGAGAAGTAGAATAAATAGCTTTGAGAAGAGGCCAAAGGACCTTTACTAAGAAGTAAATTGTATAGATTTTGAGACTATCTACTTTAGGACTTTTTTTTGGAATGCATTTATAAATTGGGCAATTTATAGAGCTAGAAAAGCTCTTGGAAATCATGTAGGTCATACTTCTCTTGTCCCCATTTTATAGTCAAGAGTAACTCCATCTGACTAGGGGCAATGGTCAAGGTCAGTTAGTTTTGTTATTTCAGTGATAGACTGTAACCTACAGTCTGATTCATAGTCAAGTGCTGCTTCCAATGTACTGCGGTTCTTAGAACCAGAAAGTTGATGTTGATAGTAGTCTTAACCTTCACATAAAAGGGGTGGGGTTATGTGTGCCCATCTGTGTTCTAGAGTATGTGAGATGACATTCTTTTATTCATGCACTGAATATTTATCAAATCTCTACCATATACATTAGCTAATACTTATAAAGCACTTACAGCAGTGCCTGGCACATAGTAAACACTTTGCTCTGAGGGTGATGATGATCCAGGCATTAAGGTGTGCAGGCTCAGTGATGGTATAATGATGAGCAAGGTAGATATGGTTCTTGCTTATATGGGGCTTATGGTCTAGCTGGGAGAAGAGTGTGGGTAGGTCTTCTTATAATCTGGTATTTTTGCTTTCCTCAGATGCTTTCTTCACATGTCGAAAAAATGCCCTCCTGGCGAAGAGCTCGTCCCCCCAGGTAGAGGGCAACTTTGCCATGGCTCCTCGGGGCCCTGACCAGGAAGAGTGTGAGGGCCTGCTGCAGCAGTGGCGAGAAGAAGGGTCAAACCAGGTGCTCTCAACTGCAAGTGAGGGTCCCCTTGCGGATAAGGGACTTGCCCAGAGCAGCTTGGCACTTCTGATGGATAATTCTGGAGAACAGGATGCTGCTTCAGAGGAAAAGTGGTCCAGTAGGCAGCTGAGTGACCTGCGGGAAGCAGAGAACCTGGATGAACCTTTCCCCGAGATGCTAGGAGAGGAGCCACTGCCAGAGATTGAGGGCCCCATGTGGGCAGCTGTCCCCATGCAGACGGCCCCCCAGTATGCAGACTGTGCTGTTCTCCCAATGGGTGCCCTGGCTGCAGAGCAATGGGAAGAGGACCCCGCGGTGGTGGCCTGGAGCATAGCACCTGAGCCTATGCCCCAGGAAGAGGCTCCCCTCTGGCCCTTTGAGGGCCTGGGACAGTTGCAGCCTCCCCCAATGGAAATACCCTATCATGGTGAGTCTGACAGCTGGCTGAATTAGCCAGGGCAGCATGTTGTCTCTGGGGTGGGCAGATCATTGCTAAAGAGAAGGTTCTCTGGTGGGGAGCTCTGCCACTGCATTCTGCTTTTTCTGCAAATCTTACAGTGTCTTATTTAGAGGGAACTTACAGATCATCTCATCCAGCCCCAAGGTCTGACAGATGAAATAATCACAGTGCAGAGAGGTAGCAGGACATGCCTAAAGTTATACAGCTAGACAGTGAAGAACTGAAGCCAGACCCTAGCTCTGATTCTTCATGTTGTCATTTCTCTGAAGGTGACCCAAAGGTTTTCCGGGGATAGGAATGGAGAGGTCTCAGGGCCTCTACTGAGCCTCAACTAGAATAACTCTTTTTATTTATGTTACATATTGGGAGTTGATTAAAATTTGAAGTAAGAGTAATGTGGCTCACATAGGTTTTAAATCTGCTATGCTGCCATATGCTATAGACGACATGGGGGAACACATTGTAGTCTCTGGCCCCATGGACTTTTCCAGGTTTAGCAGTCAGAAAACACCCAAGGCTGAAATTACTCTAGAAATTTCTTTAACCTCAGGTGGCTATTAAGCATACCCATCTGAGTGATTCTCCAGAGAGTCATGGATTTATCAAAAGTGAGAGATTATCAGCCTATAAATATTTGTGGAGCATCCTTGAGGTGCTAGGCACTGAGGATGCAGTGGTGAATAGGCCAAGATTGTCTCTGGCTTTGTACCATCTAGTCTGAAGACTGTCCTTAGAGTGCTGCTGAAATCACCACAGAGAGGGATAGGTGACAGGGAAGATGGAAGAAGGAACTTCAGGCATACTGAGTCAGGAGTGGAGACGGCGGTGCCTCTGGATAACGTTCTTGTCATGGAACTCTTCTCCCAACCCTTTGCAGAAATCTTATGGCGAGAATGGGAGGATTTCTCCACCACCCAGCCAGATGCTCAGGGCCTGGAGGCAGGGGATGGCCCTCAATTCCAGTTCACTCTGATGTCTTATAACATCCTGGCTCAGGACCTGATGCAGCAGAGCTCAGAGCTCTATCTGCATTGCCATCCAGACATCCTCAACTGGAACTATCGCTTCGCGAACCTCATGCAGGAATTCCAGCACTGGGACCCTGATGTGAGTGAAGAGGGGGAAGTGCCTTCTGGAATTGCTGCTGGATCTAGGCTGTTTCCAAATGCTCTTAGAAGATGAGTTCAAGCCCGTAGTTGTTCAAATCATTGGAGTCCTGCCTAGGCTGGAGCTTGCCTGCCTGGAGTCAGTGAGTTTTTGGCAGATGCTGAGAAGACTTTCCCTAGGTGGGCACTTTCCAGCCCCTTTATGCAGTGAGGGAGACTTGAAGGATTCAAGGAGCAGGAAAATCTAGCACACATGTCGGGTCTCCTCAGCTTAAGTCTGGGCTTGTTCTTGCTGTTGGTGACTGTCTGGGAAGAGTCAGCCCTGTGGGAAGTTTCAGTGTGACCCTACCTGAGATCTGCAGCAGCTTTCCACCTGGCTTTTGTGCTTGCTTCTAGAGGGTGGGAGTCACATTCTAGCACTCTGGAGTGATTGGTTTCCTTGTCAATTTCCCAGATCCTATGCCTCCAGGAAGTCCAGGAAGATCATTACTGGGAGCAGCTGGAGCCCTCTCTGCGAATGATGGGTAATGCAGCTCCGTGGCATCTTTGCCATCCTTTCTTCCTACAGCCCTTTCTACTCTTTCCTGAAGACCCCATCTTTTTCTTCTTAGTAAACCCTGAGTCTCACCTGTGAGCTAGCTCCTTCCATGTGTGGGTGAGAAAGTAAAGTTTTGCAGTTTTTAAAGCAATTCTGACATATATTGCCATTTAATCCTTAAAGTAACCAATGTGAGACTGAGTATTATTACCCCAGATGAGGAAACTGAGGTTCCAAAGATTTGGGTGACTTTCTTAAAATCACAAAGCTACAAAGTTAATAGATGTGGAGCTAGGATTCCAACTTGTCTGACTGCAGATTCCTTGTCCTGTTAAATTCCTATCATGTTATATTGCCACATACCCTTCCTTCCCTCCAGCCCCTCCCAGCCCTTCAGTCATTTGGTTACAACTGTAAGGGAACCTCTGTGTAGCCAAGGAAGTGGCAAGGGTGGCTCCCCTTAATGAGTGATAGGAACAATGCCTTAGGCGTGCACACCTGGGCTGCTCCTGCTGCTTGGTAGATACTCAGGCTTTGAGGACTCTGACCCAGCTCCTTGGTGGGGTTTTCCTTGCAGGCTTCACTTGTTTCTATAAGAGGAGGACTGGGTGTAAAACGGATGGTTGTGCTGTCTGCTACAAACCCACCAGATTCCGTCTGCTCTGCGCCAGCCCTGTGGAGTACTTCCGGCCTGGCTTGGAGCTCCTCAATCGGGACAACGTGGGCTTAGTGTTGCTGCTACAGCCACTAGTCCCAGAAGGCCTGGGGCAAGTCTCAGTGGCCCCCCTGTGTGTGGCAAATACCCACGTCCTTTACAACCCACGCCGGGGTGATGTCAAGCTGGCCCAGATGGCCATTCTCCTGGCAGAAGTGGACAAGGTGGCCAGATTGTCAGATGGCAGCCACTGCCCCATCATCTTGTGCGGGGACCTGAATTCTGTCCCTGACTCACCTCTCTACAACTTCATCAGGGACGGAGAGATCCAGTACCATGGGATGCCAGCCTGGAAGGTGAAGTGGGAGAGGCCACTGTGGGGGTGGGAACATGGTCTAGGGAGAGATTAAGGTGTTGGCATCCAGTGCTGCTTCTGTGGCAGGGACCTCAGTTACACCTGTTCTGGCTCCTTCCTGCTTTTTCTTGTTATGTTGAATAGCTTGTGCCCAAACCTAGAAGCTAGGAACTCTTGAATACTTTGGCATATTGGAATCCTTTCCATTTTTATCATTAATTTAATTCACAAGTTATACATAAGTACATACTTGCAAGAATTCAAACATTATAAAACAAAGCACAAGCCTCCTTTATTACCTACAGTCTCTACCCTCTCCTCGTAGGGTCAAGTAATGACTATTCTAAATCTGGTGGCCGTCTTCTAGATTGTTTTCTATATATTTATGGTGATATCTATGTTCCTATGATATTATAATCAAAATTTATATTTATTAAGCACTTACTGTGTCTCAGGGACCATTTTAAGCACTTTACATGTATTATTGATTTTTATAATTTCTATTCTTGCTTCCATTGTGTAAATAAGGAAACTAAGGTGCAGCCAAGTTAAGTAATCTGCTCTAGGTTATGCAGGTCGTTAGTGGTGGAGCCAGCATTGTAACCAGGTAGTCTCGCCCCAGAACTTTTGCTCTCAAATACTATACTGTAATTGCTTATAACAACTAATAGGTAATCTATAACATGTATTTTATAAACATGATATGCTATTGTATGTTTCATTTGTAGGTTGTTTCTTTTTTTGCTCAACAATTTGAATCTATCTCATTCCTTCTAACTGCTGAATGTTGATAGGTTAGATATCTCATAGTTTTTTATCAGCTTGTGCTGATTTCTTTTTTTTTTTTTTTTTGAGACAGAGTCTCACTTTGTTGCCCAGGCTAGAGTGAGTGCCGTGGCATCAGCCTAGCTCACAGCAACCTCAAACTCCTGGGCTCAAGCAATCCTGCTGCCTCAGCCTCCCGAGTAGCTGGGACTACAGGCATGTGCCACCATGCCCAGCTAATTTTATATATATATATTAGTTGGCCAATTAATTTCTTTCTATTTATAGTAGAGACGGAGTCTCGATCTTGCTCAGGCTGGTTTCAAACTCCTGACCTCGAGCAATCTGCCCACCTCAGCCTCCCAGAGTGCTAGGATTACAGGCGTGAGCCACCGCGCCTGGCCATGTGCTGATTTCTTTATATGTCATTTAATCTTCTTGTTCCTTAGTTTTGCCCCTCCCGATCCAACCTATTGCTTAATTTCTGGCAAGGCACGGGGAGAAAGGACAGAAAATGACTGAATTATTGTTGAGCACTTTGGGATTTTATGTTAATGAGATTACTTAAGTGCCAGCAGTGTCCTAGTTGCCAAGTGTGCAGAGAAAGGCATCATCTTGCACTGAAGAAGCTATAATCAAGGAGCTCAGGGAATGGGAAGAAGAATTTACTGTGTGCCTGCCGTGTGACAGGGACTGTTCTGCATAGTGAATGAGAGCACTTGCTTTGATGGCAGACGTCCTGGGTTCAAATCCCTGTTCTGCCACCCTAGGCAGGTTACTTAACTTGTTAAAGTCCCATTTACCTCATTTGTACATCAGGGATAAAGTGCAAACTGCTTCAGAGGTGTTTTTGGGTGGATTAAATAATGCATGTAAAGTGTTTTCCAGGACCTGGTTCAAAGGAAATAGTGAACAACTGGTAGTGGTTAGTATTAAGAGTCTTAATTGTACATGGTATTATTATCCCATTTTACAGTAGAGGTTATTGAACCCAAGAGAGTTAACTAACTTGCCCAAAGTCACAGCTCTTAAATGGCCATTAAATTCCAGGTCTATTTTACTTTAGTTTACATATTGAAAGTTTATGCCTTTGAAGGGCAGAGGGATTATGTCTTATCACCGCTCTACCCCCAGCACTTAGCTAGTGTCTCTTGGCATTCAAATATATGTTGTTGTTAAATGCAATAAAGGGTATTTTGCTACACACGTTGGAGATGTGCAGATGACTGATGTTGCCGAATGTTTCCCCTACTACGTTCTGTCCGTTCCCAGGCTGCTCATTGGCTTTGACCGAGGATGGTGACATAGATACGGTAAAGTGCTTTGGTGCATTTCCCATTTGGTTTGACCCTGTGGTTTCCCAGTAATAGGTTCAAGATATTAGACTTTGATCTGGAAGATCCAAAGATGAGAATAAACCTTTTCCTGTTGCAAGTTAAAGCCCCTGAGAGTTGATATTTCCTGTGGAGAATTGTGTAGATTTTTCTGAGGTGAAATTTAGGGACCACACATTCCTGCAGTTCTATTCTCCTTGACTCACATACCTTACTCCTTTAATTCTCATTACTGTTTCATGGACATTCAGTTTCTAGTGAAAAAGTAATGGTTGAATTAGCTCCTTATTTTTAATCTTCCCCTGAGACTCATATGGCTTGCTTATACCGTGTGTGTATTGTGTGATTGTGCGTGTTTGTATTTGTCCACATGTCCCAAAATTTGGGCTCTTATTTCCTTTTTCTTTCTTGGTTTCCTTATTCCCACTCTGCTCTTTCCTTGCAGGTATCTGGACAGGAAGACTTCTCCCATCAGCTTTACCAGAGGAAGCTGCAGGCCCCCCTGTGGCCCAGCTCCCTGGGCATCACAGATTGCTGTCAGTATGTCACCTCCTGTCACCCCAAGAGATCAGGTGAGCATGTGTCACATTCATGTTTTTATGCCCATTTTTGGAGAAAACTGGCACCTTAATGACAAGAGAAAGTGTAATCCCCTCGGTTCTTTTAGCATGTTCCTTTGTTTTGTTTTGTTTTTTCCACTGTCCTCCCCATTGTCACCCATTAAAATGGACTTTAAATTACTGCTGCTGGAAACTCCTGTCATTAGAGCCAGACTTCCTCTGTGTCTTTGTTTCTTGGTACTACGGGGGTCTCAGCATGTGACTCCTTTTCCTTTCTTTCACTATATGGCTTTTCCTGGTTTACAGAGAGACGTAAATATGGCCGAGACTTCCTGTTACGTTTTCGCTTCTGCAACATCGCTTGTCAGCGACCAGTGGGACTGGTTCTCATGGAAGGAGTGACAGATACTAAGCCAGGTGACGGAAACTAAGCCTGTTTCCTTGGTTTTCTTTCTGCCTCACCCCTGATCTTTGTCAGTTATGTGGTTTTCTGCTCTTTCCTAGATATGATTCTTAGAGATTAGCTTTTGGTAATAAGTAGACTTAGAATGGAGGTCAGTCGAGTTCAGTAGCCATATGTGTGCATGGATATGCAATGTGGTAAGAGCACTGGACCAGAAGTCAAGAGAGCTGAATTCTAACTACCTCTGAGACCTTGAGTAAGCCATTTAACCTTTTTAGGCTTATAAAGTATATATAGGGGAGAAGATACACATGATGGGACTTTGAAAATCATATGGTGACTGTTGTAATAAAAAGTTGGTCCTACTGAGAACTTCCATATTGAATACTTGACATTCTCCCCTTCTTGTGTCTGAAACCACTTCAAAGCCATTAGGAGAATGGAAAAAAGAAATTCAGGCTCCATTTTTGGCAAACTAGGAGATCAGAAGATATCTGAAACCATAAGCCACAGCACAGAAGGAATAGCTGCAAGAAGTACTGGAGATCATGCAGGGGTACTGGAGGAAGTTGGGGGAGACTTATCTGTGGGGCTATGTGGATCTCAAAGAACCAGCAGAGTGCATTTCGCCAAGTGAGGAGTGTGCCTTGAGGCACAAAATCAAAATCCCTTGTTTTTTCAACTAGAATAGAATGCACAGGTTGCAATAGGAGAGTGTCTAGATCTGTTTTGATCCTAAGAGGCAGTGGAGGAAGGACTGATCAAAGAATCAAGCCATAGTTGGATTAAGCAGTCTGTTCAAGTGGTAGAGGGGAGATGACGTACTGACAGAGCTGCATATCTCTTTCGGTTAGGGAAGAGTAAAGATTAAAATGACTCCTATGTAATGCTCTATCATGAGGAAAATTCCTGATACTTCAAATGCAAACCCAGTTGTTCCCTTATATAAACTTTGTACAAGTAGCTGCCTCAACTAATTCAAAGCTTGCCCAAAAGGAATAACATGGGATCTGTACTAAAATACTTGTAAGAGAAAAAGGAGGAAGGAATGGGTAAACAAGAGACAGATAAAGAATACTTCAAAGATAAAAATTGTTGCCATGAAGCATATGGAAATTATGATTATTTTCCTGTGAATAAAAAAAAAGGAAGCAATTGTCTTTATAAAAGAAGAACACAAAAACAAAAGTAAATGCTTTTATAAAATAAGTAAGTTCAAACACCTGACAAGACATCAGGAGGTAAAATTTAAACTGCAGAGCTCAGAAAAGAAGTGGAATAAAAATTACAAAAAATGAAGACAAAATTGAATGCAGCACAAGTGGGAATAGATATTGCTGAAAACAAGGCAAGAGACTGAGTCAGAAAATCAAAACAAAACAAAAAACCAAACAAAATGAAATAGAAGTAAAAGGAGAAAAAGGATTAAAGAGAAAATGACAGTAGTAAAAGATAAAGGAAATTCAAAATACACATAATTGGAGTTCACAAAGTTAACCAATATAATGGCCCAAAAGGAATATTTAAATATATTATTTAAGAAAGATTTTCCCAAAATGAAAAGATTTGAATTTTCGGACTGAGGACATACCATGTGTCAGTAAAAAATGATGTGGGAGAATCAATATTAAGGCATCCTGTTGAAGTTATTAGAAATCAAGGATAAAAGAATCCTTTGGGCAGTTACACCACGAGATTGAGCTCCCTTTAAGCATAATAGTAATCAGTTGACTTCAGACTTCTTAACATTACATCCGACTGTAGAAGTTGTGGATCAAGGCTCAAGGAAAGAAGGTAGGGCTCAAGAATTTTATACAGCCTTTCTTGAAGAAACTACTAGAGGAATAACTGAAGGCAACCAAGCAATGGCTGGGAAAGCTGTAGTAAAAGGACTGGTGGTGAGCACTGAATTAATTTTTTCTTATAGGAATTTAATTTGAATTGGCAATTTGCACAGAGCAGTGCACATACCAATGGCTCAATACCCTTTTAATTGCAAAGCTAAAATATCATTACAGCTGTGGGGATAGCAATAATAATAGTGATGGCCACCCTGTATTGAGCAACTAGCATGTTCAGGAACTGGGATAAATGCTTGTATCAGTCAGGCTCAGGCAGGGGAGCAATGGCTCAGGGTTTTAAGATCTAAAGTTAAATGGTAACAGGATCCCATGTAGATAATTTTATCTTAAGAATGGGTTATTTGAATCAGTGATGTACTTCAACAAAACATAAAAATAAGCATTTCAATATAACAACAAACAAAATTAAACAAAGAACCTATGAAACACATACTGACAATCACTTTGTAAGTAGAAAAGACCTGTTCTATAGGGAGGAACTACCGAGCTCACTGACAGTGCAAGATAATAGTACTATTGACAAAATCAGGGTTACATTTGGATAAACACACCCATTCACCACATACCGTTAACATGCCCTTTCATTTGTTCAGTGTTCCCACCTGGGGCTGAACAGGCTCCTGATAACTGTCTTAAAGACTCCAAATCTAAAAAACTATACTTATTTTTCAAAGGCCATGAGTGGAAGACTTAAGTGTAGTACAAGGAGATCATAGTGTGGGAGTTCCTTATTCTATAGGATCTGTCTAGATATGCTAACAAATAATATTTCTAGTTCATCCAACCCAACTGTGCATATCAAAACATGCCAATTTGACTGTGTCATTAACTTTGATGGGGAGGAAATTTAAATTAAAACCGCACAGTATCTGGAAAATGACAACAACAAAAATACCATATATTTGTGGGATTAGCTAAATAGTGTTCAGTGAAAAATTCATAGAATTATTAGTAAATAGAATATTTAGAATCATTGAATTATACTAATAGATGTGAAAGGATGAAAGTAAATAAATTAAGCATCTAATTCAAGAAATTAGACAAAAGCAACGGAAAGAAAACAAAAGGAAAGAAGATTAAAATGGGAATAATTTAGAAAACAGAAGAACTAATAAACTCTTAAGAGTGGTTGTTTGGGTGAGAAACAGTTGTCAATTAAATAAGCCCATCATATTTAAGGGGGATGGTGAAGGAATAGGAAAAAGTGTCCAGATGCAGAAGAAAAAAGAATAATAAGAGGGTTTTTTTTTTTTTTTTTTTTTTGCTCAAGTAAGTATAAAAGAAATTGAAAATTTAGATGGCATATAAGTGTAACTTACTAAATCTGATTCCAGGGAAGAGTGTCTAAAGAGACTAATTACTATGGCAGAAAAATAATAGAAAAAGTTCTCAGAGATGCAGTCCCTCCAATACACTAGGCTCAGATTGACCAGGGAATGTCCTCAAACCTTCAAAGAACATGTAATTCCTTTACTGTTTAAGTTGTTACAGAGCACAGAGGAAGAAAGGGGCAAAGTTGTTTTTATGAAACAAGTATAATGATGCCAGCACCTCACAGTAATTACACAGATAAAGAAAACCACAGACTCTAATATTCTCTATCTGTGAAAATTGATGTAAAAATTTTAAATAGAAGATTAAGAAACAGAATCTAGCAGCACATTGAAAGAGCAATATACCATGACAAATTAGAGTTTATTAGAAAATAAGGATAGTTCAATATTGGGAAATCTATTAATATAGTTTATCACACATACATATGAAACCTATTAAAATATATGAAACTCATGTCATCCTCTCTAACATGCTGAAGAGACATTTGTTAACATTCAACTTCTATTCTGGATTCTTTTAAAATGAATTCTCTTAAATTAAGGGAAAAAAATGGATATTTCCTTATATTGTTGAAATATATCTATTTCAGCTCCAAAATCAGTATTTTACTTAAAAAAAGAAGCTCGAGCAGCATTCCTGTTAAAGTTAAGAGCAGGACAAGGATGACACTATTATTATTTAACTGTGTTTGGAGATACCAGCCAACAGAATTAGAAATATAAGTAAGAAAATAGAAGTGTAAAAATGGAAAGGAGGGGGTAAATTATTACTTGCTGATGATATCATTATATAACTGATGATCCAAGAGAACTAAAATCAGCATGAAGCACTAAAGTGATTCTGGAAAGAGGCTGGGTACAAAATTAATATGCAGAAATTAGTATTCATATATAAAAATACTGATATATTTGTTAAAGGATATAATAAAAAAAGACCTTATTTGTAATAGCAACAAAAAGAAAAAATACAGAAATAAATTTAACAGGAAAAATGTAAGGTATATAAAGGAACATCACATTTCATCTAAATAATAAAATTTATTGGCATGAAGTTCTCCATAGCATTCCCTTATCCTTTTATTAAAATAGCATCACTGGGATGAAATTCGCATGTCACAAAATACACCCATTTAAAGTATGCTTTCAGAATTGTACAGCCATTACCACAATCTAATTTTAGTACATTCTCATCACCCACAAAAGAAACTATTTACCCATTAGCAGTCACTTTCCATTCATCTCTCCCCTTGTCAAAACTCAATTGACCACGAATACATGGGTCTCTGGACTCTTAATTCTATTCCATTCATCTATCCTTATGTCAGTGCCACACTCTTCTTTTGTTTTTTTGTTTTTGTTTTTTTGAGGAGGAAGGAAAAAATTATGGAATGCATCACGAATTTGTGTGCATCTTTCTGCAGAGGCCATGTTAACCTGCTCTGTATTGTTCCAATTTTATTATGTATGCTGCCGAAGTGAGCACCACATTGTCTTGATTACTATAGTTTTGTATACAGTAGTTCCTCCTCCTCCACGGTTTTGTTTTCCTTGGTTTCAGTTACCCATTGTCAACCACAGTTCGAAAATACTTATTTTGAGAGAGATCACGTTCACATAACTTTTATTAAAGTGTATTGTTAAAATTGTTTCCTTTCATTGTTAATCTTTTACTGTGCCTAATTTACAAATTAAATTTTATCATAGGTGTGCATAGGAAAAAACATAGTATATAGAAGGTTTGGTACCATCCATGGTTTCAGGCATCTACTGGGTATCTTGAAATACAGCTTCCATAGATACTTTTGAAATAGGAAAGAGTAAGTCTTCTGACTTTATTGTTATTTATTAGAATGATTTTTTTTTTTTTGAGACAGAGTCTCGCTTTGTTGCCCAGGCTAGAGTGAGTGCCATGGCGTCAGCCTAGCTCACAGCAACCTCAAACTCCTGGACTCAAGGGATCCTCCTGCCTCAGCCTCCCAAGTAGCTGGGACTACAGGCATGCGCCACCATGCCCAGCTAGTTTTTTCTATATATATCAGTTGGCCAATTAATTTCTTTCTATTTATAGTAGAGACGGGGTCTCGCTCTTGCTTAGGCTGGTTTTGAACTCCTGACCTTGAGCAATCCACCCGCCTCGGCCTCCCAAGAGCTAGGATTACAGGCGTGAGCCACAGCGCCCGGCCGGTTTGCTAGTATTTTACTGAGAGGTTTTGCATCTATATTCATAAGGGGTATTGATCTGTAGTTTTCATTTTGATGTTTTATGTAGTTTTGGTACCAGAGAAATACTGACCTCATAGGATGACTTGGGAAGTATCACCCCCTCTTTTATTTTTTGGAAGTGTTTGTGAAGGATTTGTATGAACTTTTCTTTAAATGTTTGGTAGAATTCACCAGTGAAGCTCTTTGAGCCTGGGCTCTTCTTTGTAGGAAGTTTTTAAATTATTAATTCAATCTCTTTATTTGCTATGGGACTATTCAGATTCTCTACTTCTTTAGTCAGTTTATGAAGTTAGTGTCTTTCTAGGAATTTGTCCATTTTATCTAAGTTATCTAATTTGTTGGTAGACAGTTTATAGTATTTGCTTGTAGGTTTTTTTTGTTTGTTTTGTTTTGTTTTGCTTTGTTTTGAGAGAGGATCTTGGTCTGTTGCCTGGTAGTTGTTTTTTTATTTTTTATTTCTGTACGGTTGGTAGTGATGGTCCCTGTTTCATTTCTGATTTTAGTAATTTGAGTATTGTTTTATTGGTTGGTCTACCTAAGGAGTTGATCCCTATTATTCTATTAATGTCAGTAGGATCTGTAGTAATGTTCCCTCTTTCTTGCTGATATTGGTAATTTGTATCTTTTTTTTTTAAAATGTATGTATGGTGTGCATATGTGTATGTATGTATTGATGTGTGTATATACATACATAGATACATACAGACACACAATGGATGGTACATGGTAGAAAATCTCTAGAGGAATTTACCAGGAATTAGCATTGGTTGCTTCTGGAGAGGGGAATTCAGTGATAGGGGATAAGTGGGAGAGTAACTTCACTGTTATTTTTTTCTACATTTTGATTTTTATATCATGTAACTATATGACCTATTCCAAAAAAACATACTTAAAAAAAAAAAAGGTAAGCCAAAGAAGACAATGTCTATGTTAGAAGCCTCTGTAACTGCCTTCCTCAAGTTTTTTACTTTGGTTTATTGTTTTCTTCCTCTCCTCACTGTTTCTCTTTCCCCTCTGATCCTTCTGGAGCAGTCCAGTCAGGGGTCTGAGAGGGATTTCAGGGTGAGAGGTTCTGACCCTGCTTCATTGTTGTGGATGAGAAAACCTTTTTCTCTCTGGTCCTCTACAGAGCGACCTGCAGGTTGGGCCGAGTCTGTCCTTGAGGAAGATGCATCTGAGCTTGAGCCTGTCTTCCCCAGGTAACCTTCTCTCCAGTTCCCTTCCGCTTTCAGTCCAGTCCCTGTCTAGGTGTGAGATTCCCACTGCCTGTCCTGAGGCTGATTTAGGTGAGGGCTTTTTGCCAAGCTCTCTCTTTCCCTAATACTTGCTAAGCTTATAGAGGGGCATACAGGTATGCAGAAGCCAGAGGTGACCACCCATGTTCTTGGAGGTGCAGGGCCTATGCACTCTTTTCTGGTCCCACGGACAGGGCTGCACTGGGTATACTTTACTGGGTAGTAAGAGGAGAGTGAAGGATAAATAATGTCAGGGGGTCTCAGTATAAATGTATCTGTTTCCAGACTAATTTTAGCTAAGACTGCCAGCCTCTCATTAGCATGGGAAGGAATTTGCTGAGATTGAGTCATTTGGGATTATCCCTTAAAAAAAACTTTATAAAACCCATAGAGAAAGTGACCTTGGGAAAATTTAGTAATTTTTGTCAACTACTCCTCCCTGTCCATCCCTGTAGGACTACAGGTACCATCCAGCACTGCCTCCACCTGACCTCAGTATATACGCACTTCCTGCCCCAGCATGGCCGCCCAGAGGTCACCACGATGCCCTTGGGTTTGGGAACGACGGTGGATTACATCTTCTTCTCAGCTGAGTCCTACGAGAATGGGAACAGAACTGGTAAGCCCTGGGGGATCCTGGCTTCCTAGAAATCACTCCCAGGGTCCCTGGGAACAGCAAATGGCAGGTCAGGCATTTGGTGGCATAACTTGGGCTGCTGGACTCAGCCAGCAAAGGGGCAGATTTCATACCTCCCTGGCACTGGTCATCCTCATCATTTTCCCATACGCCACTTTCCTGCCTTCTCTCTTTTTATCCTTGTAGCATTAGAAAGAGGTGGGTAGAAGAGTCACTCTCCATCCCTGTTTTAGAGGTAAAAGCAGAGCTCCAGGAGATGATTGCATTTGTTAAGTGGCAGCCACTTAGTGAGGGACTTGGTTGAGACCCTATTTGCTCTCTCCTCATCCCATACCAGTAGTCATAATAGAGCAGTCTCCCAGCCCCATGCTTATATTGTTTAACGAATGTTTTTTAAAATGTTTGAATTGATTGCCTATGTTTAAAAATCAGATTTTATATGGAAAAGCTGGATTTCTAGCTTTTCTTAGACAATCAGAAGATATCATAATGCTGGGCCTGGGTATACACTCCTCAGCTTGCCACAGTCCCCCGGAACCCCTGTCTTCATTCATATTGTCGTGGAGTATCTCTGAGAAAATGAAGCCTCCTGCCCCAGAGGCTGCAGGAGGAGGTGAGGGGGGCGGAGCAGCCTGCGCCCACAGAAGGTGTAGTTCCCAGAGGGCCCTGTTCCTGCCTGCCATGCTGCATGGCTGCGGCTGCTTTACCCTTGGCTTTTGCTTTGTGCCCCAGATCAGAGGCTGTATGGAGATGGAACGCTGAAGCTCCTGGGCCGTCTCTCCCTCCTCTCTGAAGAGATTCTTTGGGCTGCCAATGGTTTACCCAACCCCTTCTGCTCTTCAGACCACCTCTGCCTGCTAGCCAGCTTTGGGATGGATGTCACCGCCCCATGATGGGGCTCCCAGGGGAAGAGAGCTTCTCTTCCAGAAGACCTCACTGGATCAGAGACTGTGGAAATAATCCATGCTTCTGGAAACTTAGATCCAAGAAACTTACGTCCCCTCCCCTCCCCTTCCTTGTTCCCTTCTTCCCATGGTTAGATTTTCTCCAGGCCTGTCCACGTTCTCTGCCTGTGGTCCCTGCCCCGCCCCAACCTCTTCCTAATCCTGTGCCACACACTCAGTGGCCCTGGGAGAGGCAGAAGGGGGGTTTCCCCTTCCTTCCATGTATCCAGCGCTCCCCCTTGATTTTTAATTACCAGGGTTGTGGGAGCTATTGATCTCATTGGTTGTTTGCTTTCAGGCCGTTTCTTGGTGGTACCTTCTGACCCGACCTCCTCCCTGCCTTCATGACCTCTGGGCCCAGCCCTCTTGCCAGCAGGCATGCACATGTGAGATATGTGTAGTGTACCTGTGTCCTCTTGGGGTGGGCCTGTTCTGCACAGCCATGCCTGCCTCTGACCAGCCCACTTTCCACACTGGGGCTATAGGCCTAGGGGCAGGTTCAAAGCATGAGCCAGTGGCTTTGTGCTGCCAGGCAGCAGCAAGGCATGGCCCTTCTCTCCTTTTAGCCTTTGTGTTCCATTAGGCATTAGTCCTGCCAAGCAGGGCAGGCTTGTCATCGTATGGGCTCTGGGAACAAATGGGCCCCGCAGCTTGGGGCCAGCAGATTTGGGGATGTGCTACCTGCCCCAGAGGTATCTTCCAACCCAGAGCTCTCCACAGACATAGCATGATTTCTCTAGGGCTCATCCCTTTCTCCAGACTGCCCTGAGGGAGGCAGAAGTTTGAACCCTGGTGTGGGGTTCAGTGGGCTGGGATAGTGGTGTGAGGTTTAAAACTCTTTTAAGGATGATGGAAAAGAACCTTCAGGAAACTCTTGTCTCACTGGACTCTGTAGCACGCAGAACTGGGGCAAGGGTAGGAGTCCCAATGGGGAAAGAGCAGATAGGCTCTGTAGCTGCCTCAGCTGGGACTCAAGACCTAAGGGGCCGGTTCTCTTTCCTCTGCACACCTAGGAAGTAGTTTTCTGTTCCTCTCCTCCTACCAGTTTTTAGTTTGTGCTGCCTCCTGCCTCCCCCATTCCTTTCTATTTTCCTCTAGAATTGCCTGGTATTTAGCTCAGGCCAAACCATCTCAGCAGAATGGTGGCCTTGGGCAAAAGTGGTCTAAGAACTTGGGGTGGCAGTGTTTGAGGGTTTGCTCTGTCCAAGCAAGGCCTCAGCTGTTTGCCACCTCTGTTTCCCTCTCTTAACACAGGGGTACCCTAGCTTATTCAGGGGGCTCCCTAGCCCATACTGTGTCATGTGCATACCTTAATCTTTCATTGCTGGGCTGTGGCTTGGGGTATTCCTGGGCCATCCCCTTCCCACATCTCCTTTAACTCAAGAGTAGCTGCTAGCCCTGGTAAATTTGACCCAGACTTCCATAATGGGACTGAAGACGGTGGCCAAGAGGCTTAAGTTAGGGACAGTGAACCAGAGGTTAATGTTCTTTCCTGTCTTTGAAAGCCAAAGACACAGCTCGAATTCTGCTGCATTCATGGTTATGAGCTTTCCATGCCTAGGTTCTGGGGGATTTATTTTCTTTGTGTGTTTATTTTTAAACTTTGTTTCCTGGGTATTGGACATGTGCCTGTCTGAGCCCCAGGCCTGCCTGTCCACACCCCACCATTCACTTTGTCTCTTCCCTGGGCACCTCCTGAGATGGTCTCAAGACAGTGCCCTATTGGTTCCTAGGACTCGGGCCTGTCCCTGTTGTCTTCTGCTGGGAAATGCAAGTTAAAAATGGCTGAAGATGGCAGAGGGCAGGAGCTTAACAGATTATCTTTTCCTTGTTTTCTTATTTGTTTCTGTTTCAGAAATGAAATGGGGGATTTAAATGGCCATTTAAACTCTCTTTTTCCAAATAAAGGTTTACCTTTTTCCCCCCTACTGTTGGTCATTTTGTTAGGATCCTGAAGGGCATGGGGTCTTCAAGAGAGGGCCTGGAGGATGAGGTGGGCAGAGAGGAAGAGCCTGAGGGGTTTCTGATCCTGGGATGGGGTCTTAAGACCTAAATCTAGACCAGTGCAATTTGTCATAATCTCTTTCTATTAACTGAGGCAAATTCCAACTGCTCGGAGGCCTGGGAGGAACAGGGCTTGAGCAATGCCGCTTGCCCTCACTTTGTTGGGATACAGGTCTTGTCTCCATCCTCGCCAAGCGAGAGGAGAATAGCTCTTTCTTTTTTTTTGATACAGAGTCTCACTGTGTTGCCCAGGCTACAGTGAGTGCCGTGGCATCAGCCTAGCTCACAGCAACCTCAAACTCCTGGGCTCAAGCAATCCTTCTGCCTCCGCCTCCCAAGTAGCTGGTACTACAGGCATGTGCCACCATGCCTGGCTAATTTTTTCTATATATATTAGTTGGCTAATTAATTTCTTTCTATTTGTAGTAGAGACGGGGTCTCGCTTGTGCTCATGGCTCAGGCTGGTTTTGAACTCCTGACCTCGAGCAATCCGCCCGCCTCAGCCTCCCAGAGTGCTGGGACTACAGGCGTGAGCCACTGCGCCCAGCCTGAGAATAGCTCTTTCAACTGCTTTTCATTCTTACTCCATCTGCTCCCCCCGTACCACCCCCAGTCCCTACTGTGTTTCAGGAGGATCTGTGCGGAAAGTGGGATGAGATGTGTGTTTTCCCGGTCAAAGCCGTGGCAGCTGCATGAGGCATGGTGTGCGTGGCAGATGCCTCTCGCTGAGCCGTCTATTTCTGATCTCATTTGCATTCTGGAGCCAGGGCTGAGCTCTGGGCCATCTGTCGCTGAAAGAATGTCTCTTCCTTCTTGGGCCTAACTCTGCTGGTACTTTCGTCCTCCCCCAGCCTCCCTGTGCGGTAGGCCCAGCCAAGCCCACGTGCCCACTGGGAGCCCTGAAGGCAAGTGTGGTTTTCTACCCTACCTGAGCAGATTCCCAGACCCCACCCTAGCCTCTGAATCAGTCTCTGAGAGCCTGAATTTTTTAAAGCTACCTGGGTGCCTCTTGCCCTACCTGGCGTTGGGATCCACTGATTCAATACAAAGAAAATGTAGCGAGGGATTAGGAACACTGCTCGTCATCTTGATCTAGTCAGTTGGTGACTGTAGGTAAGTTACTTCTGTGGTTCAGTTCACATCCCTTGGTGAAATGAAAACTAATGATCTACTTGCGAGGAATTTTCAGATTTGAAATTGCTTTATTTGGGCTTTGGCAAGAAATGGGTGCAAAGAATTTCAGAGAAACATTGGTAGGAGTTGGGAGTGCATAGTTCCCCCCCAGCCAGGCTGGACAATTGGGCCCACTGGCTGAGAAGTATTTGATAGCTGGAAGCTTTGAGGTGTGGCCCCAGAGACCCTTCTGGCACAGAGGGTTCCCCCTGGTGGTCTCAGTCACTTCCCATCTGCACAGCACTTCCACCCCACTGGCGAGGACAATGGCACTGCGAGGTGGCAGTTGAGGTGCTGTTCAGATACTACCTTTCCATCTGAGGAAACAAATCCCAGCGATGTCCATTGAGCATCACCTTTGCTTTATTTCTTACCACCCCAAGCTCCTCAGAAGCCTTTCTGGGGGTAGAAGAGACAGATTATCTTGTAAGGTAGACAGACACACGTGGGTTGGTGGCTGGGAAGAGAGCTCAGAGGCCACTTTTAGCTGGAGACCAAAAAGGGAAAAGGCCAACGAGGCTGCTGTCGTTTTTGTTTTTTGTTTCCATTTCCTGCCCTGATGTAGCTACAAACTGGAGGATTATTTGTTTTTCCTTTTTAATTGATAAATGATAGTTGTACGTATTTTTGGGTACATGTGATATTTTGATACACATAAAATGTGTAATAATCCAATCAGGGTTCTTGGGATATCTGTTATCTCAAATATTTATCTTTGTGTTAGGAACATTCCAATTCTTCTAGCTATTTTGAAGTATATAATAAATTACTATTAACTATAGTCTCCTACTATACTATGAAATACTAGAACTTATTCCTTCTGTGTTTGTGTACCCATTAACACATTTATCTTATCTTCATACCCCCGATCCCAACCTTTCTCAGCCTCTGGTAGCATCTTTCTCTGCTATTGGAGGGTTGATGTTTTTTTAGTATTTTACTGAGAGTTTTGCATCTATATTCATAAGGGAATTGATCTGTAGTTTTCAATTTTGATGTTTTATGTAGTGGTACAGAGAGAATACTGACCTAACTAGGATGACTGGAAGTACACCCCCTCTTTATTTTTTGGAAGTTTTGTGAAGGATTTGTATGAACTTTCTTTAAATGTTTGTAGAATTCACCAGTGAAGCTCTTGAGCCTGGCTCTTCTTTGTAGGAAGTTAAATTATTATTCAATCTCTTTATCTTGCTATGGGACTTTATCATAATTTCTACTTCTTTAGTCTAGTTAATAGAAGTTAGTGTCTTTCTAGGAATTTGTCCATTTATCTAGTTATCTAATTTGTTTGGTTAGACAGGTTTATAGTATTTGCTTGGTAGGTTTTTTTTGTTTTGTTGTTGTCTTTGTTTGGAGAGAGGATCTTGTCTTGTTGTCCTGGTAGTTGTTTTTATTTTTTATTTCTGTACGGTGTGTAGTGATAGGTTCCCTGTTTCATTTCTTGATTTTAGTCAATTTGAGTATTTTTTATTGGTTTTGGTCTACTAAGGACGTTTGTATCCCTCATTATTCTATTAATGCAGTTAGGGATCTGTAGTAATGTTCCCTCTTCTTGCTGATATTGGTAATGTTGTATCTTTTTTTTTAAATGTATGTATGGTGTGCATATGTATTGATGTATTGATGTGTGTATATACATACATACATACATACAGACACACAATGGATGGTACATGGTAGAAAATCTCTAGAGGAATTTACCAGGGAATTAGCATTGGTTTGCTTCTGGGGAGAGGGAATTCAGTGGATGGGGGTAAAGTTGGAGAGTAACTTCACGTTATTTTTTTTACATTTTGATTTTATATATCACTGTAACATATGACCTATTCCAAAAAAAACATACTTAAAAAAAAAAAGGGTAAGCCAAAGAAGACAATGTCTATGTTAGAAGCCTCTGTAATGCCGTCCCAAGTTTTTTCTACTTTTTGGTTTATTGTCTTCTTCCTCTCCTCACTGTTTCTCTTTCCCCTCTGATCCTCTGGAGCAGTCCAGTCAGGGGTCTGAGAGAGGATTTCAGGGGTGAGACAGGTTCTGACCCTGCTTCATTTGTTGTGGATGAGAAAACCTTTTCTCTCTGGTCCTCTACAGAGCGACCTGCAGGTTGGCCGAGTCTGTCCTTGAGGAAGATGCATCTGAGCTTGAGCCTGTCTTCCCCAAGGTAACCTCTCCTCCAGTTCCCTTCCGCTTTCAGTCCAGTCCCTGCTAGGTGTGAGATTCCCGCTGCCTGTCCTGAGGCTTGATTTAGGTGGAGGGCTTTTTGCCAAGCTCTCTCTTTCCCTAATACTTGCTAAGCTATATAGAGGGGCATACAGTATGCAGAAGCAGAGGTGGACCACCCATGTTCTTGGAGGTGCAGGGCCTATGCACTCTTTTCTGGTCCCACGGACAGGGCTGCACTGGGTATACTTTACTGGGTAGTAAGAGGGAAGAGTGAAGGATAAATTAAATGTCAGGGGGTCTCAGTATAAAATGTATCTGTTTCCACGACTAATTTTAAGCTAAGACTGCCAAGCTCTCATTGCATGGGAAGGAATTTTGCTGAGATTGAGTCATTTGGGATGTATCCCTTAAAAAAAACTTTATAAAACCCACAGGAGAAAGTGACCTTGGGAAAATTTTAGTAATTTTTTTCAACTACTCCTCCTGTCCATCCCTGGTAGGACTACAGGTACCATCCAGCACTGCCTCCACCTGACCTCAGTATATACGCACTTGCCGCCCAGCATGGCCGCCAGAGGTCACCACGAGCCCTTGGGTTTTTTGGGAATCGGACGGCTGGATTACATCTTCTCTCAGCTGAGTCCTACGGAGAATGGGAACAGAACTGGTAAGCCCTGGGGGATCCTGGCTTCCTAGAAATCATCTCCCAGGGTCCCTGGGAACAGCAAATGGCAGGTCAGGCATTTGGTGGCATAACTTGGGCTGCTGGACTCAGCCAGCAAAGGGGGCGATTTCATACCTCCCTGGCACTGGTCATCCTCGTCATTTTCCCATACGCCACTTTCCTGCCTTCTCTCTTTGTTTATCCTTGTAGCATTAGAAAGAGGTGGGTAGAAGAGTCACTCTCCATCCCTGTTTTAGAGGTAAAGAGCAGAGCTCCAGGAGATGATTGCATTTGTTAAGTGGCAGCCACTTAGTGAGGACTTGGTTGAGACCCTACTTGCTCTCTCCTCACCCCATACAGTCTAGTCATAATAGAGCAGTCTCCCAGCCCCCTGTATATTGTTTAACGAATGTTTTTTAAAATGTTTTTGAATTGATTGCCTATGGTTTAAAAATCAGATTTTATATGGAAAAGCGGATTTCTAGCTGTTCTTAGACAATCAGAAGATTATCATAATGCTGGGCCTGGGGTATACACTCCTCAGCTTGCCACAGTCCCCCGGAACCCCTGGTCTTCATTCATATTTGTGCGTGGCAGTATCTCTGAGAAAATGAAGCCTCCTGCCCCAGAGGCTGGCAGGGGGAGGTGAGGGGGGCGGAGCACCTGCGCCCACAGAAGGTGTAGTTCCAGAGGGCCTTTTCCTGCCTGCCATGCTGCATGGCTGCGGCTGCTTTTACCCTTGGCTTGCTTTGTGCCCCAGATCAGAGGCTGTATGGAGATGGAACGCTGAAGCTCCTGGGCCGTCTCTCCCTCCTCTCTGAAGGAGATTCTTTGGGCTGCCAATGGTTACCCAACCCTCTGCTCTTCAGACCACCTCTGCCTGTAGCCAGTTTGGGATGGATGTCACCGCCCCATGATGGGGCTC